TTCATGTAAATGGAATCATACAGTGTGTGGCCTTTTGTGTCTGGCTACTTTCACTTAGCATATGTTCTCAAGATTCATTCATGTTGTACCATATATTGATATTTCACTCCTGTATATTGCTGAATAAAATTCCATAGTGTGGATATACCATATATATATGTGTGTGTGTGGATATATATATACACATTTATTTTTTGGTTTTTTGTCTATTCATTTGTTGAACATTTGGATCATTTCTACAGTTGGCTAGTGTGAATAATGCTGCTATGAACATTCATGTACAAGTTTTCATTTTAACACCTGTTTTTAATTCTTTTGGGTTTATACCTAGGAGTGGAGTTGCCGGTCATGGTTAATTCTACATTTAACTTTTGAAAAACCACCAAACTATTTTCTACAGTATCTGTATCATTTTGTGTTCCCACCGGCAATGTACACAGTTCACAATTTCTCCACATCCTCACCAACACATGTTACTTTTGCATGTTTATTTAGTGGTCAGGTCTCTTGGGTCTTCTCTCATCTGGGTAGTTCCTTACTCTTTGCCTTTTTTTGACCATGATAGTTTTGAAGATTACTGGCCAGTTATTTAATAGAATTCCCCAAATTTGGGTGTTTGACACTAATTTATGATTAAATTCAGATTGTGTGTTTTTGGCAAGTAAACGACAGAAGCGATATTGTGTTGTTTCTCAGCACATCTCAGATTAGTTTCCACATGATGATGTTAACTGTTGATGCTAACTTTGAAGCAATTTGTTAAGGTAGGGTGGTACCTGTCAGATTTTTTCACTGTGAGTTAATTTTTCCTTTTATAATTGATAAATATCTTGTGGAAAGAATCTTTAATAAATAGTATATTAATAACTTTATCATCATACTTTTACGTACTAATTTTAGCATCCATTGATGAATTTTGACTAAAACAGTTATTACGGTGGTATTTACTAGTTGGTGACTTTGCATCATTCATTTTTCATTATCTGAAATTCTATACATAGCATTGTGGTAAACTTGCTTACTTAGAATTATGTAGTGATGAATTGAAAGGGTCATCTTTTTTTTTTCCCCCAAGAAAATTTAATTTTATTATTTCTTTTTTTTTTTATCCTTTTTGTCTTTTTTCGTGACCGGCAACGGATCGCAACCCTCAGTGTCGTGCCCATACCTGACCGGGACTGGCAATGGGATCGCAACCCTCGGTGTTGCGCCCGCACCTTGCTCAGCCAGTGAGCGGTCGGTCTGTACGTGGGATCCGAACCCTCGGCGGGAGTGCCGCCATGCTCCCAAGCGGCGCACTGTAGCAGTGCGCCACCGGGCCAGCCCCTAATTTTATTATTTCTTACATTCTAGGATGTTGTTGCAGAGCAGTTGGGAGGGATGGGGAGAGGGGAAAGATATGTGCTGGAAGAAGGAGGGGCGGGATTGAGGCCTATGGCACCCCCCTCATTCCCACAGGGGAGACTGGGCGGCTTCCAGTGGTGGCTTGATTGTTGCTGGGTTGGGTGCAGATGTCAGGGGAGTGTGGCAAAAGCCCTCGTCCCCCAACACCCCAGCTTGGGAACCTGGGACCCTTCTTGCTACAGCTTGGTGGTTGTTGGTGGGCTGGTTGCACATGCCAGGGGGCGTGGCTGAGGCCCTCAGGCCCCCACCGCCCCAGCTTGGGGGAGAGCCTGGAGTGTTTCCTGTGGTGGCTCAGTGGTCATCGCTGGGTTGGCTGCGTGTGTCGGGGGCGTGGCTGAGGCCCAAGGCTTCCTACCACCCTCGCTCGTGAGAACCTGGTGCTCTTCCTGTGGCGGCTTGATGTTATCGCAGGGCTGGCTGGGTGTGTCTGGGGTGTGTGGCTGAGACCCTCATCTGCCACACTCGGGACTGATTGCGGGTGTCAGGGGGCATTGCTGAGGCCCCCAGCCCTCCCTGTTTCTGGCTTGGAAGCCCAGGGGACTTCCGGTACTTCTAGGTGTCATAGGTGTTCTTTGGTGAAATGAGACCTTTACTACTTAATACCAAACTTTGTCTCTGGTTGTGCAGGTACTTTGTTTTTTCTTTCAGTTCTGTGTTGGATTATTTGCTGTTGCCACCACTTAACTCTGCACTAGAACTAATTTGTTGTCCTTTGCTTACTTCTAAAATGGGGGAACTTTCTGTGTGGACTGCTACTTGAGCTCTGTAGTTAAGCTAAATTGCTGCTTTGCTGCTAATTCCCTAGGGAAGGCTTTTTGTGCAGCTCAGGTTTTAATGGTTGACTTTATAGGTACTTTGGGGTGTAGTGAAATCTGGTCCACCTGGGTTGTGTAGATACTCTGGTCTGGGCCTGTTTTTCCATCAAACTCTACCCCCTGCAATTCTTTTTTCCTGACCAGTCTTCTCTGAGTGGTCCTACACTGATTGGGGGCAGATCAGCTATCCTTGCTGTGCCTCCATGTCCCCCTGGTGGGCCGGTCTCCCCCACTGCCCATGCTGCAAACACTTCTCATGGGATGGGCCATGCACCAGTCCCTTGCGATGACTCACTGGCCTTTGAGTGGCTCCTTTTTTTCAGTTGTTGTGGCTCCTCGCTCCTATGTGGGTCCACGGGAACCCTATTAGTGGTCTTGCTGACCTGGGGTCCACCAAGGCCCTCTTCTCCCCTGCTGCCTCCAAGCAACTTCTTTCCTGTGGTGGCTCAGTGGTCATCGCTGGGTTGGCTGCGTGTGTTGGGGGCGTGGCTGAGGCCCAAGGCTTCCTACCACCCTCGCTCGTGAGAACCTGGTGCTCTTCCTGTGGCGGCTTGATGTTATCGCAGGGCTGGCTGGGTGTGTCTGGGGTGTGTGGCTGAGACCCTCATCTGCCACACTCGGGACTGATTGCGGGTGTCAGGGGGCATTGCTGAGGCCCCCAGCCCTCCCTGTTTCTGGCTTGGAAGCCCAGGGGACTTCCGGTACTTCTAGGTGTCATAGGTGTTCTTTGGTGAAATGAGACCTTTACTACTTAATACCAAACTTTGTCTCTGGTTGTGCAGGTACTTTGTTTTTTCTTTCAGTTCTGTGTTGGATTATTTGCTGTTGCCACCACTTAACTCTGCACTAGAACTAATTTGTTGTCCTTTGCTTACTTCTAAAATGGGGGAACTTTCTGTGTGGACTGCTACTTGAGCTCTGTAGTTAAGCTAAATTGCTGCTTTGCTGCTAATTCCCTAGGGAAGGCTTTTTGTGCAGCTCAGGTTTTAATGGTTGACTTTATAGGTACTTTGGGGTGTAGTGAAATCTGGTCCACCTGGGTTGTGTAGATACTCTGGTCTGGGCCTGTTTTTCCATCAAACTCTACCCCCTGCAATTCTTTTTTCCTGACCAGTCTTCTCTGAGTGGTCCTACACTGATTGGGGGCAGATCAGCTATCCTTGCTGTGCCTCCATGTCCCCCTGGTGGGCCGGTCTCCCCCACTGCCCATGCTGCAAACACTTCTCATGGGATGGGCCATGCACCAGTCCCTTGCGATGACTCACTGGCCTTTGAGTGGCTCCTTTTTTTCAGTTGTTGTGGCTCCTCGCTCCTATGTGGGTCCACGGGAACCCTATTAGTGGTCTTGCTGACCTGGGGTCCACCAAGGCCCTCTTCTCCCCTGCTGCCTCCAAGCAACTTCATCTGAAGGGCAAAGCTGCAGCTTCTGCCAGCTCCTGCTCCGTTAGCTCACCAGCTCCAGCCTTGAAGCAGCTGGGTCTCGAAACAGTCAGAGCGTCCCGTCCCCCCCCCATCATGGCTTTACCCACTTTCGTGCACTCTGTAGGTCTCTCTTCCCCTGAGCTCTAGTGGCCCCAGCTTGGCTGTCATTGCTTTTTTATAGTTGTAAATTGGTTGATTTGTGGGATAGAGTGACGCTGGGGACCGTTTTTTCTGCCATCTTGACTGGATCTTAAATTATCCTCTAGTGAGAAACCTGTTAGATAATATGTTGAGTGGAGAAATGGGTTTTATAAACAGAGACTATATATATATGTGTGTGTATGTATATATATATATATATATATATATATGTAAAATTTGTTTTTGAAATATTTTTTAAAAATTACTAATTATCATGTTGTTAGTCTGGATTAGAACAGTGCTAGTTAATCTGTGGACTGGTGTTAGTCCACAAATTATTTGTTACTATACTTTTGCTGTGATAAGTTGAGGAAATAAGTGCTTGGAATCTTTTACTACAATTAGACATTACAACAATTGTATGATATTTTGGATTAGTGTTGGTTTACAACAGATTGGAAATTTAAAAATACTTAATCTTTTACCTCGGTTGGTTTGAAAAGCACTGGTCTGGAAGAACACTCAAGCTGAAATGTCTAATAGATCCGTTGAATATATGCATCATGGTGTTCAGTAATTACTACATTCCATAAGCAGTTATATTGTGAGCATGCCACTGGGTTATGTGAAGGAAAAAAATTAGAGGGACAAAAATTGTAAATAAAGATAGGAAAAATAAAAAGATAAATGCAGGAAAGAGAAAATGTTTCATCATTTTATGGATACACAGTACTGCCTTCAGGCCTGTCTGCTGGCTTATCCAATGTAGGTTTTCTACCTCTTCTATCTATAGCTTTGTTTTCAGTTTTTTTAGTTTATGTATATATCTTAGGGGCCAGCTCAATTTGGAGTCCAGCACTTAAAAAGTAATCCTTTTTATGTGACACAAACAGAAAGAATGTTAAGTATTTTACATTTTGTGTACTTAACATCATCACATGGAGAAAACACTAATTTTCACAAAAGGTAAGAGAAGGAAAGGAAGATAAAACCAGTCAAAGTAATTAGCAGTTATTAAAGAGGCGAATGAAAAAAAAATGAAATAAAAAAAGAAGTTGTTGTGGAGGTGGTTCTATTTGGTTCATATTGGCAGTTTATTTAGTTTCTGCTTAGTGTTGGTACTTTCAAATGGAAGGTATACATTATTTATTATTATTATTATTATTAGTTTGGTCTTTGTAATAGAGTCTTTTAGTTTAATCATTCTTTGTTTTCTAGGAATACAGGAGTTTCCAGAGAATATAAAAAACTGTAAAGTTTTGACAGTTGTGGAGGCCAGTGTAAATCCTATTTCCAAGTAAGTTCTCAGTTGAATTATAGGTTACTTTTTGTTAATGAAACAATTATGAAACAGTAGTAGAATATTACTTTACATATTTTAATTTTAAATTTGTATCAATTTTAAATCTGTACAAAATTTCAGTTATACAGTAAAAAGGAATTTTTTTTTTTTATTTTTTTTTTGTGCAACTGGCCAGTATAGGGATCTGAACCCATGACCTTGGTATTATAAGGCTGCACTCTGACCAACAGAGCTAACTGGCTAGCCCTAAAAAGGAATTTTGTGAATAATCTTTCTAACCCCATATATTCCAAATGTAAAATTGAAATCCAAAGGAGATAATGCAAGTGTTCTGCTCCAGGTCTCACAGATAGTTAATGTCAGAAATGAGACTAGAATACAGGTTTCCTCACTCAGTGTTATTTACATAATATTAGAATGTCTTTGCCTTCGAATTAGATGTGTGGCACATTCAAACCTTTGAAAAATAATAAAAGAGGGGCCGGCCCGGTGGTGCACTGGATAGTGCGCCGCTTGGGAAGCACGGCGGCGCTCCCGCCCGAGGGTTCGGATCCCACATACAGACCGGTTCCCGTTCACTGGCTGAGCAAGGTGCGGGAGCGGCGCCGAGGGTTGCGATCCTGTTGCCAGTCCCCGGTCCGGTACGGGGGCAACACTGAGGGTTGCGATCCGTTGCCGGACACGGAAAAAAGACAAAAGACAAAAAAAAAAAAAAAAGAAAAATAATAAAAGAAACTGAAAGGTCAAGAAGGCCAAACAATAAAAGAAAAAGCTGTGATTAATTGCAGTATATACGAGAGGTTATGCATATTCTTTTATGATAGTAATGGCTATAAACAGAAAGTTTTCCTGGTACCAAAGATGTTAAATTTTGCAAAAATGGTATGGTGAAGCATAGCTTAGTTCAGATAAGTTGGAAGTTGAAACCAGCTTTCATATATTATAATATTGTATTTTTTGATGAGTTTTTCCAAACATAGCATTGCTTCACTTGCTGTGGAAGATTGAGGCACGTGAGCGAGAAGATAAATGAGTCAAAGTCTGATGTGTCTTACTGCATGAGGATTTTGTACTTGTTAAAATCCAGGACAAACTTGTAAAAGATGTATATTCTCTTCACTTGAAAATACTGCTCTAGCATCAAGTTCTAGATTTATAACTTGTTTCATAATCAAGAAGGCATAGAAGTAAAGCTAAGAAACATAGATTCTGACATGGCCTTAAAATGTCATTCAGCTTTTTATATTATTTCTTCTCATTTGCTCATTATAACACTCTATAATCTTTTTTTTTGGACCAGTAAGGGGACCGCAACCCTTGGCACGGTGTGGTCAGTACCATGCTCAGCTCAGCCAGTGAGTGCACTGGCCAACCCTAATAGGATCCGAACCCACGGCCTCGGCGCTGCCAGCGCCACACTCTCCCAAGTGAGCCACAGGGCCAGCCCAACACTCTACAGTCTTAATTGTTTAGGAGCCAGATGTTGAAACTGAAAATAGTCTAAATCAGTGGTTTTCAACAGGGGGCTATTTTGGTCTCAGGGGACATTTGACAATTTCTGGAGACATTACTGGTTTTCAAAATGGGTGTGTATGTGTATGTGCGCTACTGGCATCTAGTTGGTAGAGGCCAGGGTTGCAGCTAAACATCCTGAAGTGCATAAGACAGCTTACTCACAACAAAGAATTTTTCAGTCCAAAATATCTTTGTCATGGTTTATAAACTCTTATCTAGTCCTTTGAATTGATGTTACATAAGGCGAATTTTAAGAGTAACTGCTGATTGCATAGTTATGTCCTAAATATATTTCTGAGTATTATGGCTTATTCATACTTGACTTATTTTGTGCAGATTTTATGTTATCGACACATTTAATACCTAACTTCCTTTTTACAAAGAGATGAAAACACAAACATTGAAACAGGTAAATTATTACAAAAGGCAAACCTTAATTTGAGGATTACTAATATAAGAAAAGAGATGGTAATTATCTGTTCAGAAATGTCTTGATTACATAGATTCTTAGATTTTAGTAAGAGTCTGAAATTCTATATATGAACTTAATTTAAATTCTGATATATTTTATATAGGCTCCCTGATGGATTTTCTCAGCTGTTAAACCTAACCCAGTTATACCTGAATGATGCTTTCCTTGAGTTCTTGCCAGCAAATTTTGGCAGGTAAATTATAGTTTCTTCTAAAACCTTTTATTGTTAGCTCTTATAAAGTTTGCAAAACTACAAGCTGCTTTAATAATACTGTTAATTTACAGTTTTAGAGGCTCTTCTTTTGTAATTTTTCACAAGTATTGTGATTTTTATAGTTTCTTTGGGTCTTGTTATTTTGACTGTGAATTTATTTTCCCAAGTAAACAATAGAGAGTGAGAGTTTAAAAGAAAAAAATAAACTGATTTTTAAGATGGCAAAAATAGAGTTTTTTTTTTTTTCCCTTTTTGTCTTTTTTTACTGACCGGTAACGGAATCGCAACCCTCGGTGTCGCGCCCGCACCGCGCTCAGCCAGTGAGCGGGAACCGGTCTCCACATGGGATCCGAACCCTCGGTGGGAGCGCTGCCGCACTCCCAAGCGGCGCACTCTGCAGTGCGCCACCGGGCCGGCCCAAAAAAATAGAGTTTTTTTTTTCTTTTTTACTGACCAGTAACGGGATCGCAACCCTCGGTACTGCGCCCGCACCACGCTCAGCCAGTGAGCGGGAACCGGTCTCCACACGGGATCCGAACCCATGGCGGGAGCGCCGCCGCGCTCCCAAGCGGCGCACCCTCCAGTGTGCCCCCGGGCTGGCCCAAAATAGAGTTTTTAATGAGAGTAATTTGTATATTTGAGATGCTGAATGCTGTATTCTTAGCATTTATCATATTCTAAAATGATTTAATACTTGGTTTATCTGTCTTCCCTGCTGGAGTCAGAATTCTTGAGAAAAGAGAATCTGTTTCTGGGATTTACCTCATTGTCTCCCTGATTCCCCCTCTCCCCATCCCTAAGTCATTTTTTTTTAAACAAACAGATGAATGAATGAAATATAGGCATCAAGTTAGTGTTGAATTTATTTAAACAGAACATGCTACCTAACTAAATGTTAATTTTATAGTCATATTTTGTCTAACAATAATTAGCATACTTTGTCAGATCTGTACCTGGCATTTATATTACTTAATCTGCTCATTTTCCCTCTATTTTTAGTGGAATGTGCATCACTGAAGTGCCAGAGGATTTCTTTTTCTCCATGTCCCATTACGTTCCCTTATTTATTTGTTCTCAGAGCTGCACTCTAGGGTTGCATTATTGTTCTCTAATCTACCAACAGTTAACAATTTTTGTGAGTATTAGTAAAAGGCATGAAATGCTCTAAAATGGGTATTCAAGAATGATCACATGATCCCCTTGAAAATGTCTGGAGGTGCTTACCTTTTTTTCCCCGTAATTCTGAGTAGTAGAAGTAGTCTTATCTTCCTTTGTATCTTTTTATTCTTCTGTAATTTTTAAAATATTAATCTGTACATAGTGATTGTGTAATTATTAATATTGCTTGCTTTAAAGCGTTAGAATGTGACATTAATTTGTTAAATTCCTTGTCTTTGCTATATGATTTGTTCTTTGTTTTGCAGATTAACTAAACTCCAGATATTAGAACTTAGAGAAAATCAATTGAAAATGTTGCCTAAGTAAGTAAAGGTGCTGTCCTTTTTAAAATTCAATTTAGAACTCTTAATCCTTAGATCCTTAAAAAAAGTTACATTTTTATTTAAAATGTGAGTGCAAATTGTTTTTAAAAACTGACATTTGTGATCATCATATTTAAATTAGTGGTGTTAAATATAAAAATGTATGCATAACTTTGTACTGTGTTAATAGTGATTTCATAACTCTCTGAAATACAGTCTTTTGTGTGACACAAAAATCAAAATAGTAAGTATGTAAAGCCCACCTGAGTCTCAAATAGAGAACCCAAGTTCACACTAGAGCTCTTACACATTACTCGTTAGAGAGATCTGTAGAGTCTTCATGTGAAAACCGATAACTATAGAACTTGATTGTCTGCTTTCTAGTTTATTGTAAACTAGAAATGGAGCAATTGGTCCCCTGATGGTAAGCTATCATCAAGAAGAGATGGCATTCCAAAAGCAAATAAGAAGATAAAAATATCAAAGACACAGGTCTACAAACTCAAAATGTACTATAATCTGTGGCCATTTATTGAACAAGAATCTTAAAAAACCTTTAGTGCATTGCTACGTTGTTATAGGTTACGGGTTGGCAAACTAAGGTCTGTGATTAAGTGTGGCCCACCATCTATTTTTGTAAATAAAGTTTCATTGGAATACAGGCGTGGGGCCGGCCTGTGGCGCACTCGGGAGAGTGCGGCGCACTGGGAGCACAGCGACGCTTCCGCCGCAGGTTCGGATCCTATATAGGAATAGCCGGTGTGCTCACTAGCTGAGCACGGTGCGGGCGACACCACACCAAGGGTTGCGATCCCCTACTGGTCACGAAAAAGACAAAAAAAAAAAGAATACAGGCGTGTCCATTTATGTACATATTGTATATGGTTGCTTTTGCTCTGCAGTGGTAGAGTTAAGTGGTTGCGACAGAGGCTATATCTTCTGGAGAGCCTGAAATACTTACTATCTGGCTCTTTACAGACAAATTTTGCCATCGTTTGTTGAAATTGAATCATCAAGACTTAATTATCACCTCTTGAGGAGGGAAACATCTCCAGTTAGCCCAGGAGTTAGTTCTATTTACTCAACGTCTTTGGCATTGTATTTATATCTGTGATATTTGCCACATAATTTTAATATGTCTTTATATGTCACTCTCTTCTTCCTCAACCAGTGTATACACATGTATACATGTGCATGCATGTCTCCAACTCTGTCCCCCATGATTCTGAGTCGTTGAGGGCAGAGACAATGTCTAATTTTCATTCCCAAAAGACAGTATATTTTAGCTGAATAATTGGCTGTTCAATATATGAATGAGTGAAGTTTAGTGATGTTTGTGAGTATAAATTAAAGTGGGAATTATGATCCATGTTAAAATTTAGAAAGGTCTATATATTTTACAGATTTGGTGCTATCAATGAGAACTCCTTAGTTCAAAACTTGACTGGTTTCTAAGAGATTTGAAAAACCAAGATGTAAAGGGGCCATAGTTTAAAATATTAGGAAAGTCATGTGTGTTCAGGTTATGTGACTAGACTTTTTATGATTAAAGATTAGAGCAGTGGGAAGAGCTATATTTTGTTTTAGTTTGGTTTTTTTTCACTCCCCCCCCCTTTTCTTTGGTTGGGGTGCTTTTTAGATACATAGCTAAGTGAAATTTAATACCACCTAAAGAATACTGGAAGGCACAGTACTAAGAACACAAAGGATGTTATAGTTCCTATGAGGAAGGAAAGGAGTAGGTAAAATGAGTTGAATAAAATTGAATTTTAGAGGTAAAGAGGAGGAGGTTTGAGGGATATTGTTTCTATTTTCTCCTTGGAGTAGGAAGCTGGATCTTATTTTAAGATGCAGCCTTATTTCTGAGGTTTCTGAAGTGTGTGAGCAGAACCAAAGTTGCCATTACTAGTTACAGAGAGTTGAGGCACGTTTTTGACATTTATTTTCATCTTTTTCATTGTATATCTATATCATTCACATTTTCTTAAATTTGTTTTAAAAGTTAACTTTTCTAGAATGTTGTCTATAATTGAATGTCTCCGACACATTGCTTTTCATTTTTATACCCTCTTCTAAAACTGTTATGCTTTATTTTTACAAATTATACTTGTTGGTATTAGATGTTCAGTTGCTGCATGCGAATTTTCTGTTATCTTGTCATTACAATAATATTGAAGTGAGAAATATAAGATTATGTTTTGTTTTTTCAATCTTCTTCCCTCCTCACAGCCTCTACTTTTCTCAAATCTCCACCTGGTATAGCAGTTTGAACATAGGAGCTTAATGTCATAGCATGTGGTTTTATGTCTAGAGAAAGATCCTGGAAAACCTTTTACTTTGTTGTGGTGGAAACTAGAACCTCCTTATAGATTTTCTGAATAAAAACAGATATATGAGTAAGGGAAGTAAAATTATAGTACCCAAACATAGGCAGTCGATAAATGTGAGTTAAAGCAGCTTTGAGACAAATTGGCATTGTGTGGTGAATTAAATTAATGGGGTGGTGATAGAATGGCATATTTAAAATGTAAGAGTTGGGGAAAATTTACTTCTTATTTAGGCCAGTAACATAGTGTCGTTACAATTATGGTGTGTTCTTATATTATTCACTAAAAAGCTAGAGAAATGTTTTGACAGTTTTATATTATTTATTATTAATTTTTGTTAAATTTCCAGAGAAGATAGAAATAGTTTATTATGCCATAATTTAAGGTGCCTATGGGTTTTAAATGATGTTTATTTCCAAAGTATTGACATATTAATGTAATAAACTAAATAATATGACAATAACTGTATCTTGCTATTATTCTGTCATATCCTACAAAATTGTTAGTGTAGTTTCTTATCTGGGTAGCTGTTAGCATCTCAATACATTAAATATTAGGTTTTTCTAAAAATAGCAGTTTAAGAGCATGGATATTCATTTGCGGTAATTAGTAATTAGTTTAATTTCTTTTCTTTTCTTTTTTTTTTTTTTTTCTTAAAAGATGACCAGTTAAGGGGATCTTAACTCTTGACTTGGTGTTATCAGCATCATTCTCACCCAGTCAGCTATCCGGCCATCCCTATATGGGATCCAAATCTGTGGCCTTGATGTTATCAGCACCACACTCTCCTGAATGAGCCACGGGTCGGCCCGTAATTAGTTTAGTTTCTAAAGGTTTCTTTGTCAAAGGAGAGGTAAAATTACAACTTAGTTAATTTCATTACAAAACGAGTTTGTCCACTATTCAAGTTCTTATAGTTGCAGAGAAGTGTTGATGTTAAGTTGGAAGTTAAAAATGGTATATTGTTGCTTTAATTTAAAATAAATGTCATCTTATTGTGTTTGTCATTCTCATAAAACTTTATTTTGAATTCTATTAGATTTAATTTGTGTATGTGGGGAACAATGTAACATTTACTGTTCCTAGCATTTTGAAAGTTAATTTTCAGATTTATAGTTACAAATACAAGTATATGAGCAATCTTAAAAAGACTTTTTGGAATTATAGTAGTAATTATTATGTATCTGCCAAATAGTCTGATTCATTAGCTGATTTATAGTGTATGGAAATTTATTCTGTGAAAAATTGGAAATCCATTATTCATTTCTGGCCTGTGGGTTTAAATTTATTGCAATTGCTTCTTAACCATAGATATTAGAAGACTGATGAGAAGCCAAAATTAGAGAATAATTGATAACAATTCATTTTATATAGAAATTAAATATGAATTTTATTTTTCTTAGAAAACTAACATTTTTATTTTGTCAGCATGTGAAAGCCTATACTTCATTGCATGTTACATAAGAATGTTTTAAACAATTATATGAAATTTGAAAGCTTTCATGTAATTGATATTTTTGTATAGTTAATTATTTTTTACTCCATTGTGAATAGAACCATGAATAGACTGACCCAGCTGGAAAGACTGGATTTGGGAAGTAATGAATTCACAGAAGTGGTGAGTTCTCACCAGTCTCACTATCTATAAGTCTTACATTTGATCAAAAACAAAATGTGAAAATTAATGTATTTCTTTTAAAAATTGGATAAAGATATACATTTTTTTGAGCTTTAAGATATGAAAGTTTTTAACCAGACCTTTTTAGACAGAAAAATTAATCAGATAGAAAAATCTGGCATAAGTGAGAATAAAATGTAAAATGGAGAGGTCTGTGGAAGGGATACCTAAAAGTTTTTTAGCACGGGAAGCAAAAAAATTTGAGAGAGAAGTGAAAAACAATAGTCTAGAATGCAGCAAGTAAAGTAGTTCTGAGTCAGATAACTGCCTGTGTATTGCTTATGAATTTATTCAATGATAAAATACTTCTCTGTAATTTTACTTAATAGCTAAAGGAAAAATCATTGAGTGAAACAACTGTTATTTCTGAGTTAGTAATGAGACCTCTGGATTGTGTTTATTATTTGTATGCTAAGTGTACTACTATGATGCTGACTCTGAAAGGAAAGGAGTACATGAGCAGTTTTTTGTCTTTAGTCAGTGTTCCAAGAGATCTCTGAAAATAAGCTAGGTGTTTTTTTGAAGAGGAATTAATCAAGCTGAATATCATCTTCATTAAAATTTTTAAATTGTGTTTACTAGTTTGTTGTTTTAAATTGCAGTAGCTTTTTCAAATGTAGTCTTAAGAACAAGAATTTTTCAGCACTGTTCGCAGTAGTATTGCCCTGTGGAGTATTGTGGATATTGTATTGTACATTTCAGCTAAGATACCTCATATCTTCTCTAAAATACTCTTTTTTATATACTTTATTCTAATTGAGGGTGGTATCTGTTGGATTTTATTGTGTTTTGAGGAGTTTTCCTTGTGAAAAAATATATGTTATGCTTCCTAAATGACTTATCTGTTGTGCCCTTTTTCAATATTTGTTTTATATATATTAATCTGTTTCTATATTAACTTTGAAATTTTTTTGGGTAGGGGGAGCCACTGGCTGGTAAGGGTATCTGAACTCTTGACCTTGGTGTTACCAACACGGCACTCTAACCAGAGTGAGCTTATTGGCCAGCCCCCTGAAAATTCTTCATAATTTTTAATTTCATGAATCCAATAAGCTTTCAAAATTATCATTAATTTTTGTACCATTTTGGTCTTCCAGCATTATACATTTTTACAAACTTGCTAAAAGAATTACAACAGTAAAGGACAAATAGAAATTTCTTTTAATTCAAGTTACATCTAGAATTCTTACGTATATTTATATATTAACAGTAAGTCTGAATGACATGCCTTTTTTATATGACTCATGTTATTAAGGTGGTTCGATGTGGTGGTACTCTATGCCATCCCATGATCATTGATTGCACACAGAAATAACCTTGAAGGAGGCATTTGGATCTTTAGCCTTAAAAATTTTGCCTGTATGCCAGGGTTCACCACAACACTTGGATTAATTTTAGGTTCTCAACACCACAAGTTTTCACCGTGTAATTAAGAATTTTTATTAGGAGTTTAAATAACAGATATTATTATCATGCAGTTATGCCTTTGTTTATTTACCTGTCCTTATTGTTGGACATTTATGGATATATGTTGCCTTTTTTTCTCTCTTTTTACTAATGTGACCAGGGAACATCTTTGTTATTTTCCTAAGCTTTCCTAAGCTTTGAAAGGCTGTATTGTTTTACTGATAATGAGAGCATTTTTCATTGTATGCATCAAAGCAGTAGGTCCTATTCTTATTTCTTTATTAATTGTATAAATACTTGACCCTGTTGTGTAAATCCAAAACTTAAGTGAGTTTTATGTACTCTACTTTTATGGAATGTCTGTCTTTGATTTCTTCTTAATAATGTTATTTTAGTAACTATGATACAGTAGAAAGACTTGCATCATGGCTATAGCTCCCCCCTTTTTTCCTTTTATGTAATGTCTTGAAACCAAAAGGTTATCATTAGAATTAGAAATTCTCAGGGTTTTTTATTTTACCAGATAAGACATTTTCATAAATTAATTGGACTCCTCCCCACTTCCCCTATCCAAACAGCCTGAAGTACTTGAGCAACTAAGTGGATTGAAAGAATTTTGGATGGATGGTAACAGACTGACTTTTATTCCAGGGGTATGTATATGAAATTTTAAATGACTTCACACATTGCTGTCTCTCCTTTGCAGTTTTGTGAATTGTGTGTTTTTAAATTACTTTTAATTACTTAAAAATATGGATTGTTAATTCTTTATTAAATTACTGTAAGCAAATTAATTTTTTTTTGTTAACTGTGAGCACATTCTTGATTAAAATCTGAAAATTCCTCTAATAAACTTTTGTAAATAGTCTCTTTTTAATACTGTACAGTGTGTTCTATCCAGTGGTAGCAATTGAATTTAATTCAGTTTGCCCAGGGGATTGTCAAACTAGGATGTTTTCCATGAACTTTCTGTCTTTATCAACTGGCAAATTGTAAATTCCTGTGTCTAAAGAAGCCACAAGAATCCCCATATGTGCTATCTCCCTAGGAGGTGATGGACAACTGAGTTCCCGAAGGAAAGTATGTGTCCTCTGTCCCTCTGGTAGGCTAAAATTAGTAGGAGTTCTTAGCTTTATTACTGAATACATTTCTCCTGGCATTTAAATTAAAAACAGTTTGTGAGTCCTTTTTCTTGTATTAACACTTAGTTATTAATTAAAATTTGGTATTAGGTTTATTACCTAAACTTTTTACAAGTTAGTTATTGTTGCTAGAGTCATTAAATTTTCTTTTTCTACTTACAGTTTATCGGTAGTTTGAAACAGCTCACATATTTGGATGTTTCTAAAAATAGTATTGAAATGGTTGAAGAAGGAATTTCAGCATGTGAAAACCTTCAAGACCTCCTATTGTCAAGCAATTCACTTCAACAACTGCCTGAAACTATTGGTTTGTATTGCTTTTAAATTCATGTAATACATTTTTACTGAAATTTAAGGCTTCCATATAATCTTAAATTTTATTTGTTATAAGGAAGTTCTACTGTACTACCACAGTAACATCTTATTTGAAGTTTTCCTGATGTGATTAGTTGTCCAGTTTACTCCTTTATTGACATTACTGTGTTTTTATTTACTCTAAGGAAATCTCATTTTTGTATTGCAATAAATTTAAATTCTTTAAAGAGAAGTTAAGTTGTCCAAATTTGGTTTAACTCTTGATCATAGCCCTTATTTGGTAACTTTTTTCAGTCTAACTTCATTATAGACTCATAAAAGAAAACAGACCAGTTGAACAAATCCTGTGAGATCTGTAATTGTTATTGAGTCTGTTTTTGTGTAGTTGCTTGTTTTGTGATGTGTCAAGGGAATTGAATTATTTTGATGAAAGGACCAAAAACTTAAGCATTGACATCTTCATAATATTTTAATATAAAAACCAAAGCACGGGGCTGGCCCGGTGGCGCACTGGATAAGTGCGCCGCTTGGGAAGCGCAGCGGCGCTCCCGCCCGAGGGTTCGGATCCCACATACGGACCGGTTCCCGCTCACTGGCTGAGCGAGGCGCGGGGGCAGCACCGAGGGTTGCGATCCTGTTGCCAGTCCCCGGTCCGGTACGGGGGCAACACTGAGGGTTGCGATCCGTTGCCGGACACGGAAAAAGACAAAAGACAAAAAAAAAAAAAAAAGAAACTATAAAGAATAAGGCATGATGAAAACCAGAACCCTCCGAAATGAAAAACTGTTGGAAACAGACCTCACTTGGTGAGTTTAACAGCAGATGGGAGAAAATTAGTAAATTCTAAAATGGAGCTGCAGAAATTACCCAGAATGCAGAAAAGTGACAAATGGATAGATTCAAGAAAACAAAAAGTCTTAATATTCCTAAAGTCATTAAAGAAATTATATCAGTAGTTTAAAATTTTTCATGCACTCACAAAAAACCTAAGGCCCAGATGGTTTTACAGCAAAATTCTACTGAACTTTCAAGTAACAAATAATTCTATTTTATATAATCTCTTCCAAAAATTATAAAAAAGATGGACTATTCCTCGCTTATTCTATGAGACCATGAGAGATGATAAAACTAGACAAGAAATATATGAGAATGAGTTTTACATTTTGTGAATCATTAGGATTTTACTCTACTCTAATTTAATCAATACTTTTACTTTTTAAATTAAAATATATTTTATTGTTTTAGTATTTGGTATACTTAGAATAGTTTGTTATACACCTATAGAAACTCTCTTCATACTACGATTTCTTTAAATCCATTAATTCAACAAATTTGTATTATGTATTTTCTCTGTGCCATGGCATTGTTTTTAGAAGCAGGGCTGCAGTAGTTATCAGTGTAAACAAAAAGTCCCTACTCTCATGAAACTTACATTTTAGTAGGATTTAATAAACAAATATACACTATGTTAAGAGATGATGTGGGTGAAAATTGAAAATATAAGGTAAGGGAATAGAGTGATGGAGTTGGGGGTAGTCTCTTTTAGTCAGGTTGGTTAGGAAAGTTTTTCCTAATTCTAGTCAAGTGTAATGGATTTCACATTGACTGTTGGTGGACTTGCTTCTAGTTTGAACTGAAAAGTTGTATATTATTTCTTCTCTCAATAGGTTCATTGAAGAATGTAACAACTCTTAAAATAGATGAAAACCAACTAATGTACCTACCAGACTCTATAGGAGGGTAAGATTTTTGTTAATGTTTAGTCCCTTGAAGATTTTACTTTTATTTCAGCTTGCCATATATATTTTCAGATATTTGCATAAATGACATCTAATGAAGCTTCTGTAAGTATTTTAAATAAGTAATTATTATACAGGTTGGGTATATTTATAATAAAGACACAGAGATCTATTTATTATTGGTGAAGTATAGCTTCGTGAAGTGCCTTCACTAGGTTTGTTAAAGGTAAGTTCAAATGTTCTGTGTTCTTAAATTTTGTGTTATGTAGAAAACTTTTTTATATAATGTTTGTCTCCTTTTTTAATTAAAGGTTAATATCAGTAGAAGAATTGGATTGTAGTTTCAATGAAGTTGAAGCTTTGCCTTCATCTATTGGGCAGCTTACTAACATAAGAACCTTTGCTGCAGATCATAATTACTTACAGCAGTTACCCCCAGAGGTACTTTATTTTAAATTTGTCTTGGATTTTTGTCTTTGCCTCTTTTTCTAATTATCCTTGTTATAGCTCTCTAGTTTGGTTTTGTTTATTTTCTTCCTAAAATAATTTATTAAGTTATTTATTTTCTGAATAATAACTAGCTGTTAATGTACATGTGTCTAAATACTTTCCTGAAACTATTTTACATGAAAACTAATAATTAAAAAGGGAAAATGTAACAATCATTCTGTTTTTAAATGTGAAGTGTATTTTTCATAACTTTCAAAAATGATGTTCATGTGTTGTTTAGCCCATAGGCCAAATTTCTGATCCCCATTTTATGTTTTTTTTTTTAGATTGGAAGCTGGAAAAATATAACTGTGCTGTTTCTCCATTCTAATAAACTTGAGACGCTTCCAGAGGAAATGGGTGATATGCAAAAATTAAAAGTCATTAATTTAAGTGATAATAGGTTTGTAATACTATATTCATAAATGGGTTTATTGGAGACATGAAATTAAAGTTTGATATATGATAGAGTAGCTCATGCTTGTTCCTCTTGTCATATGTACGTTTAATTTTTTTAAAAAATAGAACGACCTAATTTTATCTGATGTTAATTATCATACTCTGGTTGTCACTGTTCATTTTGCGTCAGTTGAGTATATAACCTTTAGTTTCTCTTTATGGTAACCTTTTTTATTCCTAATGTCAGATCTTCACCTTAATACTACTATTGAACAAAGCAACTTTTGATGTAAACTGTTGATTATATTTTTCTGGGCAGAAGTGTGGTTAGGTACTCACTCACATAGCTTGGGCAACAAAGCCAAGGCGCAGAGCAAATTGACCAGTACAGTTGCTTAGTTAGAGCAGTGTTTAAGTTAAAAACAGAATATGCATACTTTCTGTTGAGGTAAAGATACTAATGGTGATGATAAAACAACATCGTGGAGTGTTTATTTACATTTTGCTTGGATAGTATATTATGAAATCTCAAAACGATCCTATGAAATAGAACAGGAATACCTGTTGTACTATGTAGGAGAAATCCCAGACTCAAATTTAAGGTGATTCACATAGCTTATAAGGAAGAGCTTTCAATTATACCCAGTTTTTTGACTAGTTACAATAGCCTGACTATCTTATTTAAGATATTGTTTAAGATAAGACGATAGTCTGACTATTTTATTTAAAAAAAAAAAAGAACCACTGCTTTCTTATTAAATTCCTATTTTGGCCTGTACTTTTTACCCTAAAACTAGAACACTAGGTTCTGATAAATTGCCTTGAAAGATAGGCACAGAAGACTAGTTAGGCAAAAGATAGCAAGGTTGAAGTAGATATCTGTTTTAAATAGGGTGCTATTTTAATTTAGCATTCTAGTGAGTATTTATATTTTTACTTATTATATCTTAGTGCTGGCCCACAAAGAAATACAGAGCAGTACAGTTTTTATAACAAACACTAAGAGTACTTTCTATTACAGTTTATTTGTTCTAAATACAAATAAAAAAGCAACTTTAATGAGACCTTGCTTAATATGTCCTTGTCTTTTCTCTAAGACAGAGACAGTCAACTGTTTTTTTAACAGATAATTTTTATTGTGGTTTTTAGGTTATTCATTTTTTTGTCAGCTAAATTTGATTTGATTGAAGAATTATATTTTTAAAACTCTTATAAAACTTGATAATATTTTGTCTTATGCTCTATAGAAAGATCTATATTGGGCTTTTTTCTTTTAAACTTGTTGGCATATGCAATTATATAGTATTATTCATAAATCACTATATTTTATTTTAAAATAAATAGCTAGCATTTATTTTAAATCTTCTCATTTTAAAGTTTAATGTTTGATTTTTTTTTCCCCCTACAGATTAAAGAATTTGCCCTTTAGCTTTACAAAGCTGCAACAATTGACTGCTATGTGGCTCTCAGATAATCAGGTGGGCGTTCTGATTTTGAAAAAACTGGCTTTCTAGTTGTATAATTATGCACTCTAATTTACTTTGAAGAGTAGTTATACTCTGGTACACATTGTAATAATGTATTTTATATATATAAGGAAAATCTTAGAAAATATTTAAAAACAGATAATTTTTATAAAATAGGTGTCAATTTATAAATAATAAATCTTGTTGGACTTGCCTGGTTTCTCCCAAATCCATAAAAATATATAGAGATTGCAAAATTAGGCTTGGTGCTTCCTAATTTTAGTAGCATTGCCTCATGTACTTGTCATTTTTTTGTGGTGAGAACACTTAAAATCTACTCTCTCAGCAGTTTCCAGGAATACAATACATTTTTATTAACTGTAGCACCATGTTGTTCAATAGATCTCTTAAATTTATTCCTCTGTGTAATGGAAACTTTGTACCCTTTGACCAACATATCCCAATCTACATGCCCATGTCCTGGTTGCCAGCCCTTGGTAACCACCATTTTACTATGTTTCCATGAGTTTGCCTTTTTTAGGTTTCACATGTAAGTAAAATTAATGTGGTATTTGTCTTTCTGTTCCTGGCTTATTTCACTTAACATAATATCCTCCAGGTTCATCCATGTTTTTGCAAATGACAAGATTTCTTTCTTCTTTAAGACTTAATAGTATTCTGCTGCCTGTGTGTGTGTGTGTGAGAGAGAGAGATATATTTGCTTTTATTAGAGCTTGAGCACAGGAGATTATTATCTCTACTATATGTTCAAATCTTTAACTTTCTGATTTCTCTTAATTGAATATTTTAAGTTTAGAACTTGATTTGAAGTTTTACCACTGGATTCAGAATGCATTAGATGGTCACTGTCTTATGCCAATTGCTAATTCTACAGTATGAATGAGACATAACTCCTGATATTGAGGAATTCTCAGACTAACTTTATTAGTACAGTATCATTTTTGTGGATAAATTAATGCTGGTAATTTATGCCATATGGTTCGTTTTAGTGAAATTGTCAAGTATCTACTACAATTTCTTCATATTTATATAGTGTTTTCTCATTCTCTGCCCACTCACTACTTGATAATTGTTTTAAAACAAAATTGTGTGGATGGAGGTCTTCATTCCTCCAAGTTTGGCAGAATATTTAGTAAAACATATCAGATGTTGCTAGGAAATTTCCCATACTGTATGAAGGAGTAATTTTATAAAAGAACAAAGTATAGGGGAGAGGGTATACCAGAGAAGTTCAATTATGAATTATGAAAATAAATTGCTCTACTGATTATATAGATCAGTACATGCGGTAATATAATTTTTGTGAGTCTTTGAAGGCATGAGCATTGTTTATTAATTTATTCCCTCATTCATTTTGTGATTCTCAAGAACCTTTATTGAACAACTGCTTTGTAATAGGCAGTCTAAAATAGGGGAAACAGTGAAATTTAGAAAGTCATTTTAATACAGTGAGATAAGACTTGATAAGGCTAGGTTTCAGGATCAAAGATGAAGAGGATAACTTGGGGATGTAAAGGAAGGTTTCCCAAGGGAGGAAATGTTTGCAGTGCCTGAATTACCTCTCAAAAGAGGAATAGGATTTAAACGAAGGGGAACAGCATTCTGGTTAGAAGGAATAACTTGAGCATGAGCCTTTAGACATAAAGTAGCCTAGTATATTCGATAACTCTACAAGTGGGTCATTGTGACTAGAGCATAACCTGTGAGTGGAAGAGGTAGGAAATGAGGCCACAGAGGCAGAGTTCATAGAGGATCTTGTATGCCATGCGAAGGAACTTCTATTATATTTCAAGGATGGAAGGTAGATTTTTTTTTTTTATCTTGTATGTCTACTCTCATCAATTATGAGTGGCTTCCTGAGAAATTTTGTTATGGATTTCTGAGGCCATATTCAAGCTCAGTGGAAAATTTCTGTGATTAGGGTAACCATGTGATTTATTGTTTATAATAGGACATTTTTGGGGGTGTGAAAGGGGCTCCACTGATAACTATGTCAGAGCAACATGTGAAATTTCTATCCCAGGCAAATTGGGAATTTGGTCGTTCTAGTCATGATCAGTTATTCATGTCTGCTCTGAGTATAAGAGAAGGAAGTGATCATTGTGATACATATGGATATGAGAGCCAATGTAACCCTTAAACAGGCAAAAAGTATGATCAGGTTAGTATTTTAGGAAGACGTTTTTGGCTGTATTATGGAAGGTGGATTTAGTAGAGGGTGATGCCAACTGTGAGGAGAGACTGAGTTGGTGGACATTACCATACTTTAGGCAACAGAAAATGTTGGCTTGAACTAAATGATAATAGGTCTAGGGAAGAGCAGATACTTTTAGGTTATAATTTAAAAGGTGACATCAGTAGAACATATGAAGAATGTATATATGTGAGGAGAGAGTAAGAGCATCAGAGATTTGGCCTGAGTGACTAGGTGAATATTGCTGCCATAACCAAGAAAGGGAACCACAAGAAAAAGAAATATGTTCATGGGAAGATGTTAAGTTCCAGTTCAACATGTTGAGTTTAGAAGTACCTTTGGTTATATCCAAGTGGGCATGTATAAGACAGTCCGGTGGCCAGTGAACCCTCTGACTCTGTTTTAGGTTGTGCTTTCTGTGCTCTTAATTTCCCCATTCTTTTAATTTCTAACCTTCAGGAATTTCTCACGATTGCTCATGAAGGCATCGTTTCTTTTTTTCCGGTACTATTATAAATTTATTCTTTTTGCTTATTTGTAAAGTTTTTTCCCTTTGTTTAAAAAGATTTGTGACACTAGAAGAGATACATATTTGCGTTAAGACCATTCATTGTTTTAATAACTTTTTCTAGGGAATGGTCTCATAGCTTTTATTGTTTTTCTTAAAAGGGATTACATAAAATAATTTTTTTAATGGTGGGGATGGATGAATCCTGAGGAATGCTAATGTTTAAGTGGCAGGTAGATTAATCAACTTTAAAAGAGTAGTCATAGAGGTAGAAGGAAAACTGTCTTGCTTGTTTCAATTTAAGAGTGAAGAGACTAGCCTGAAGGAAGAAGTTGTTAATAGGATAAATGCTGTCGAGAAGTCAGTTATGATGAAATCAGAAAAATGCTCATTTTTCCAATTATATTTGGCAATTTATACTTCCCAACTTAAATTGACTAGCTAAAGTAATATGTCAAAAACCAGATTGAAGGAGTTTAAGGAATAAATAGATGACAGAATGGAGCCATATGATGTTGATTTTTCTTTTAAGAAGGTTGGATGAGAAGGAAAAGGAATGGAACATAGAGAAATTGGTAGCTAGGAGCAGGGAAAGCAGGGATCCTTTAACATTAGAGAGCGTGTTTATTACAGGTTATTGGAAAGCAGCTGTGTGGAGAATAAGATTAAGAATGTGAGAGGGGGTTGGATACCTGGGGTGGAAACACAAGGAATTAAAAGCTTTGACAAGATTTTTATCCTTTTGAGGAGATCTTGGGTCTGAAATTTGTGAGATGGAAGGCTAATGTACATTGTGATACCCTTAGAGTATAGCATTTCCCACACTCATAGCTGTTCCAGAATTCTTTTATTTTTTTAGAATATTTTTTAAAGAAGATAATATCTTCAGAATACTATTTAGGAAATGCAGAAGGATTTTCAGGCAACATTGAGAGTCCGATTGAAGTACTATTAATATCACTACACAAATACAAGTATACAAGTACAAATTTGTAGTGATACAAATTTGCTCAGCTGTGTAATACAGGGAAAACACACAATTGTTATGATCATAGGCTGCAATTTTGCCAAGCCAGATACAAGAAAAGGACAGTGCAGCAAGGAGGTCTTGTTTATTGTCAAGAAAGTGGTTGAAATGAGAGGTGGTTTTTGCTATACAAAGGGGAGCAAAGATATGAGCAAATGATGGGAAGAATGTCAGAAGGTCAAGGAACTAGCAGTCTTGGTGAGGGTAATCAACAAGTATTGTGGGAGCAGTAGAGTGGGAGAGCCGAATGGTGTCTGTTATCATACTCTGCTGATTGTCCTTTGATTGACTACTCTTCATTCTCCTTTGAGGCATGTATCTTCTCCCAGTGCTTTATATGTTGGTGCTCTTCATGCTACTCTAGGCTCTGCGTTAGTTTCTCTATACTATACTTTCTCCTGAAATTGCTACTGCTGTTCTCCTATCCTCATTATCTTCAGCCCAATTCCTATGCCTGAACTTCACGTTCATGTAGCTCAGTGCCTGCTTAATATTGCAACCTAGATGTCTGAAAATCAGTCACCCTAAAATTGAGCACACTATTTTCTGCCCAAAATATTTTTCTTTTCCTGGATTCCCTAGCTTAGTAAAAAGTACTTAATGGAGGCAGAGACCTAGGAATGTAAACTCTTAATTATTATTTTTCCCTATACTTCAGTCCTGAAGTATTTGTTGCCAAGCCCTGTTGAATCTTAATTTAAATATCTCTGTTGTCTGTGTGCTTTGCTTTATTCCTATTGCCACTTCCCTTAAATACTGTCCATGATCATCTTTTGCTTAGACTGCACTGTCCACTAGTTACCATTGGACAATAGTACTAGTGTCAATACAATAGTACAGTAGTTACCAGTGTCATGTGACTGGTCCAAGTTCACATGTGGTATAAGTGTAAAATACACACTGGATTTTGTAGCCTTAGTAAAAACAGAGAATGTAAATTCACAATTTTTATTCTGGATTACATGTTAAAATTATAATACATTGACTATGTTATGTTAAATTAAATACATTATCAAAATTAATCTGGATTTTGTAGCCTTAGTAAAAACAGAGAATGTAAATTCACAATTTTTATTCTGGATTGCATGTTAAAATTATAATACATTGACTATGTTATGTTAAATTAAATACATTATCAAAATTAATTTCATCTTTTTGCTTTTTTTAAAAAATGTGGCTGCTAGAAAATCATAAATTATCTATGGTTCTCATTTTTGTCTCACGTTATATTTCTTTTGGACAGTGCTAACTTAGACTGTTGGGATAGCTTTCTAACAGGTCTTTGCCACCAGTGTTGCCATCACTTCCAACCCCTTATCATTCTGATTCCATTCTGAACCACACTGTAACTTAAGTGATCCTTTAATCTGACCCTAACATTAACCTACTTAAAACCTTTTCATGATCTTTTTTTACATATATATTATATGCCTCAACACCCTGCTCACCTGTACCCTTTATACTTCCCCAAAATGAGTTCTGCTCTTTTGAAACATACTTCCTTTCCCTTCTTACGTAGCTTCTTATTCTCTTATCCTCACTGTAAACTTTATTTCAGTAATGCTTTCCTAATCATTCAGGATTGTGATAAGTGAATACCTTCTCCTATATGTTCTCTTAGTACCCTTTCTGCCCTGTAATTACACTGTATTGCAATTGCCTATTTTGTTATCTGTATTCTTCCTCTCATATGCTATAAACTCTACAAAGTCAGTAGAGATACATATTTTACTCACTACTGTATACCCAGTGTCTGTCATAGTGCTTTGCAATATAAAAGGCTCTTAGTAAATATGTGTTGAATGAGTGATTTTAGACTTCAGAGGAAGAATGTTTACAGGTGATATTTTAGGGATTATGGAAGGGAGTGGAGTGAGTATCTGAAAGGAAATAGAATTAAAGATCACTGGAATTAGATGTTCAAGGAACTGAGAAGTTCGATACATAGTTCTCAACCCCCTTTTTTTCTGTCTTGTACCCTGTAAATGTCAGTTAGTTTTCTTATTACACCTTTATTGAAATATAATTCACATACCATACAATTCACCCATTTTAGATTTTGGGGGTGGGGTTGGAGGGCAGCTAGCTGGTAAGGGTATCTGAATTCTTGACCTTGGTGTTGTAACGTTTCTAGAAATTTTTTTTCAATTCACCCATTTTAAAGTGTACAATTCAGTTGTATGTTCACAGAGTTGTGCAATGATTACTACAGTTAATTTTAGAACATTTTCAAGGCAATTAGCGTTTTAAAGCCTTTCAGATAATTTTGGTATGCCCATCGTAGGGGACATACTTCCTCCTTCCCGCACACTACTCATCTGTTAATATAACACTTGGCCAAGTGTATGGCTTATCTGCCTTTTATGTCTGTTGAATTACCCATGACTGTGGAAAAAGTCAGAAATACATGGATACTACCAGGAGGTCAGTGGATAATAGGAAAGGAGATTGAATGTAGAGACAGGAGTTACATGCATCAAAGGAGCAACAGTTTAATGATAGAGGAATAATGATCTCACAGTATTGTTAAGTGCTGCTCCCACCTACCTAGGGTGGATGAGGTGTGGGAGAATAAGCAACCTGTATTTGGGGCTTTTTTTTTTTTTTTTTTTTTCTTCACTGTCTCTGGGAAAGGAGTAGAGCTCCCACTTCATTATCTGAGAAAGTCAAGGAAAATGTTCAGAAGTTTGAGATGCAGGGCAGTTTGTTTACTGTGGAACAAGGAGGGGAAACAAAGGAAGTATTTGAAGCATTTATGAATAGGAGTAAGATTACAGGATGGCATTAACTAGCTGGAAGATTTTCACAAGAATAGGTCCAAAAATTAATTATAGGATGGCATGTGAGGGGAGGATTGGATTGTAGTTCTGTGCCTATCTAGAGCCAGCCAAGGCTTTTGTTGGTAGGATTTTAGGTGAATTGATTGGCAAAAAGAATTATTTATATTAAGAAGTAAGTTGATAACATTTGTTAACCAGTTAGGAAAAAGTCCTAAAAAATGAATTCCAAAATACCTGGGGATATCCACCACTGGGTGTCATTAATGGAGACAGGAGACAAGGGGAGAACAAAAAGAGAGAGAAGCAGTTTACAACTTAATGGTTTTGTTAAATAAGCACTCTCTTTTCAGCTGTTAACTAGAGTAAACCTTTAGATGAGTGGAGTAAATCTTCCAGATGACTTTTTCAAAAACATTTTTGCAAAGGGGAATACTAGAGAAGGCAAGATAACCTAAAATGGATAGGATTATTTTACAACTTCGTTAAGTAAATCACTGTGACAGTAGGTAATTACTGGACTATGGATATACTTAGTATATGAAATCTTTTCAAACTGTTGATAGTTCTATGATAATTGCAATATAGTGTGAATTTGCTTTATACTAAAAATTAAGTGTTATTTTTTGGGTTTTTATATAGTTTCAAATCAATGCTTAAAGTGTTGTGCATATTTAAATCTGTTTTTGTAACCTACTCATAGATACCTTATAGAAAAAATGGTGAGTAATTATTCAGAGGAATTGCTGGATGTATATTTGCTTTAGGGTTATTGAAAATTAAACTTTTTTTTTCCCCCTAGTCCAAACCCTTGATACCTCTTCAAAAAGAAACCGATTCAGAGACCCAGAAAATGGTGCTTACAAACTACATGTTCCCTCAGCAGCCAAGGACTGAGGATGGTAGGAATTTAAGAATCTTTTTTCTTTTCAAAAGCAAATACTGAATAATCAAAGCAAAGAAGTGAAGTGAATTTTAAGTCTTAAACACTTTTACTAGCTTGATGGGACTTTGGAGAATGGGTCAAGAAAATTCTCTTGAAATAATAGGAAAGTAAGACAACATCTCAAGGTTATAGATACTTGAATTTAGAGGTGTAGGTGTACCATATACTTCTTTAAGTGATTCCTTTAAAGTAAACCACTAACTTTAGGTGTTATAGATCTCTCTGTTAAAAGTTACGTTTAGCTAAATGTGAGGAGTGCATGTGGAGTGTTATGTGATTAGAAATATTAAGCCAGGAAATATTTTGTTAACTTCTGCTGTAAATTTTAATTCTACCTTTAGGTCTACACACTAGATCAACATACTCTGTACAACTCTGATTATAAATTTTACTTGTAAATCCTTTCCTATTTTTTGCCCAACAAGGGGGACTACACCATTTAGTACTGGCCACAAATGTATTTTATAGATAGTGTTGTGAAAGTATTTTAGACTAAGAAACAAATTGTTTCTAATATGTGTTGTATTCTGTGTGTGTGTGTGATGTTTATTATGTTATTAAAATATATAATTTTAATCTGTATCTTTCTGAAACTAGTAAAAATCTCTATGGTCTGAAGTTATTTATAAATTCTTAATACATAAAAACACTGGGGAAAAAAAAGTAAACTAATTGTTAGTCTTAATTTATAAAATATACCATGGATAAGTAAAATCAATTCTTGAGCTTTAGATTTCTTTTTTTTTTTTAATTTTTTTGGTTATTTTTAGTTTTCTTATCTTGAAATGATGATAATAGTTTCATTGGAACCCATCCACATTAATTCATTTGCATATTTATGGCTGCTTTCAAGCTGCAGTGGCCGAGTTGAGTGCTAGCAACAGAAACTTTATGGACTACAAAGCCTATATATTTATTATAAGGCCCTTTACTGAAAGTTTGTTAAGATACGCAATAGGACATTGAAGTCTCTTCTCTAAGCTAAGAATTCATTTCTTTCCTCACAAATATCTTGTGTTAACATTCTGTCCTCCCACATAAAACAGCAATTATTCGAACATATTATGTAGCTGATCATATTATTATTTATTGGATGCTCACCATTACTTACTATTTACTTTTATCCCCAAATCATCTTCAGAGACAAAGAAAAGTGGAAAATTGAGACATGAGTATCCTAGTGAATAAGACAAATAAAAAAATTTCTATTGATGTATCTAAGTATTTGCTGTAATTCCCCACACTGTAGTGGCATAGGCAGTGTTTGCACATCTGTTTTTAACTTCTAAATTTCTAATGCATAAAATTTTGATTGCTTACAACAATACATCAATATTAAGAACAGTTTAAAAGTAAATATATTCTATATTTTATGGAAATATATTTTTATATTTTATTATATTGCTAAATATGGAGGTTAAGGATGGATTTAAATACGTGAAATAGAGATCTTACTTGTAACTTTATTTGTGAAGCTTTAATTACAGACCCTCTAATGAATGAAGCTGTTTTACATTTGACATCTCATAAATCTTAACTTCTAGTTTAATTCAAAAGCTAAGCAGTTTTTGTTACACCTAAGTACATAATCATCAAATACAGTCATGAAATAACTTATCAGAGTGTGTCTTTTATTACTTCTTGCAAAGAGCAAGAAAAAATTAGCCTAGAGAAGTTTATCACTAGTTATGAAACAGAAGTTAAATGAGTTAAGTTTTTGGCCTGTTTACATATTTCAAAGCTGTTTGCTAAACCAGCAATAATAATAAGAATAAGAATAGCTAATTTGATTGAATCAGACACAGTGCTAAGTGCTTAATATTCATAATTTCTCATCTTTACAGTAGCCCTCCAGAACAGATACTATTATCACCACTTGCCTCCTGGCTCACAAAGCTTAAAATATTTATTATCTAGACCTTTATAAAAAAGTTTCCTGGGGGCCAGCCCGGTGGCGCACTGCTACAGTGCGCCGCTTGGGAGCGCGGCGGCACTCCTGCAGAGGGTTCGGATCCCACATACAGACCGGTTCCCGCTCACTGGCTGAGCGAGGTGCGGGCGTGACACCGAGGGTTGCGATCTCGTTGCCGGTCCCAGTCCGGTATGGGCGCGACACTGAGGGTTGCGATCCGTTGCCGGACACGAAAAAAGACAAAAAGGAAAAAAAAAAAAGTTTCCTGACTCCTGCACTAAACTGTCTTAATTAGGTATGTTCATGCCTTGATCTCTCCTCTTAACTGTTTTCCATTTTCATGATTCAAATCCACCTGACCTCCTTTTTGCATCCAATTATTTCAATTTATCTCCTTCCTGTTTCTTCTTAAAAGAGTTCATAGTTCAAGTAAGATATTTATTTCTGATAAGAAGAACAGAAGTAGCAAAATCTTGCCACTGTTAATTTTTGATTTTGAGATTTTAGAGTGGACGAGTCTGTAATGGAAAAGTTTGAAATACAAGTATCAGTTAAGATATTCTGAGTCTTCTTAGAGTTCATGTGTTACCTAAAGTATCTCACTATAGGAATTATAAGCAGAGTGCTGAACATAATGCATTCATAGTCTACAGTCAAAGTACATTGGTGTGGTCACTGGGTGAATTTCCTTTTTCTGCAAGGAAAACTTTTTCCTTTATCCTAGTGACTCTAAGAAATAGATGAATCAGAAAATATAATGTTGTTGGGTTGGGTTTTACACCAGTTTGAGAGAAATAGATACGTTGTTCACATTTAATTCATTTTTATTGACCCACGTATGTGACAGGCATTGTGCTAAAGCTAAGTATTCAAAGGCAAAAGTCCTTGCCCTCAAGAGTCTAAAGGTGGATAATGATGAATAAATTTGAGAGTAAGGATGAGATCTTGAGCCTACGTAGAGGAATCAGTCTTAAACAGGAAGGGGTGGTATATATCCATGTAACAAATTTGTAGCTAGAAAAACAATGTTAGGGGGAATGTCAGTCTGAGGAAGTTTTTTGCATCTTTTCATAGTGAAGTGAAAGAAATATGCCTCTAGAGGTTGGGGAAAGGGCATTTGAGGGAGGTTGTAGTAATTAATGTATCATGGAATCTAAGCTTAATAGAGAAGGAAGTAAAACCTACAGTGGTTTTACAGGGAGAAAAAGGGGGTTGAGGAGCTGAAAGTTTACCAGCAACAGTAAGGAAATGAAGATTTGAAAGGACAGGTGTAATATAGTCAAAGAAGTGGGAATTTTTTATTAAAACCAAGATCTTGAGTATGACAAGGTCATGGATCTCTTAGATGATGTGCAGATGGATATTGGGATTGAGGACATCAAGGAACTATAAAATTGTGGTGTTGGGGTTGATGTCACACATTGACATCATTCAGGATATTGGCAGGTCACAGGTGGAGAGAAAGTCTGTAGCCTAATCTAGAGTCCTCAATGAATATGCCTGGGTGATCAAGTTGAGTGGCCTCTAGAATGGTTAGAAATTGATATTACCTGGTGGCCTGAATGTGAGATTTATACCAACGTGTAGAAAGGTTAGGTGACCAGAAGTTGACAAGAATGAGAGGCATGGTAAAAGTTACTTACCTTGGGGTTCTGAATAAATTCTGCTATAAAATTGCTTTGGCATAGTCTAACAGTCTCAGGGATCTCTGCGTGAGGCTGGTGATTGAAATTACTGCTTAAGATAGGAGGAGAAATCATGCAAATCCTAGAAACAGACTTTGTTGGAAACTGATGACTCTGCTTGCCTTTCCAATAGTACCATCAAGGTGTGTCAATAAAAATTTGAACCACGCTCCACATTTGTTTTCAACAAAAACAAATAGTCTTATTCATTAAGTAAAGCAATTATATTGAACTGAGTAATGAAAACAAGGAAAAAGCTAAATCAAAAAATTCCATTCTCATTGTTAGTATTTGGTTTCATGGCATCATGGAGATTAAAAAAGGGTAAGAAGCCCAAAACAAGGGCTTAATATAAATAATAATAGAAGTTTTTAGTGTTATGGTATTTTTATATAAGTTTTCAAAATGACCATATTTGGGTGTTCCAGGAACTTCAGTTTTTCTGTTAGCTTATTTTGGGTGCTTTTAATCTTTTTATTTTGAGTAGGGATAGTCATTTTCTTTTAATGGGCAAAAAAGTTGTGATTTTATCTTGTATTGCATAATTTCTATAGCATGATATATAATAGTCGAATGAATTAATTTTTAAGCCTTAGATTTTTTTAGATGCCTAATAGTAGGAAGCAAAAAATTAAGAGTTGTTAAATCTTTACTTTTAATATTATATCTGATAGCAGGATATATTAAGTGTTGAGTTTACTTAGTATAATTTGTATTGTGTATAATGTTTAATGCAAAGATCTAACTACATGCCATCAAGATAATTCTTTTTTTACCAAAATATCTCACTCTTTTATCAGCTTCTTCCCCTGACCTACATACATATAATGAACTATTGGAATTATGAATATACGAGAATGGGGATTCAATGATTTATATATATTATCATGTTAACCTTTTTGGAGCACTGAACAGACTATTTGCTTATAGTGTTTTCATTGGTAGATTCTTTTCTGGAAACCTTTTGCTAACAAAACAAGACAAATCAGCTTCAGGGAAGAAAAGAATTGTGATTGACATTGTAAAGAAATCTTAGAATCACAGCCTAGTCATGATTTATAGCTGCTGGCTTTGACCAGCCTCAACTGTCTTAGACTTATTGTAAGGAACATAACTCATCAAGAAAATTATGGGCAAGTAATTGTTTTCATAATTATGGTAAAATATAATAGGGTTTTTTGTTTTTTACTTTTCTCTAGTTATGTTCACTTCAGATAATGAAAGTTTTAATCCTTCTTTGTGGGAGGAACAGAGGAAACAGCGGGCTCAAGTGGCATTTGAATGTGATGAAGACAAAGATGAAAGAGAGGCACCTCCCAGGGTGAGTCTGTTCTTTCTTCCTTCAGATTTCAGACTGTTCTCCTGATATTTAAGTTGGTCTTACAGGTTGAGTATCCCTTATCCAAAATGTTTGGGACCAGAAGTGTTTTGGATTTCAGGGTTTTTTTAGGGTTTTGGAATATTTGCAAATACTTAACCAGTTGAGCATCCCTTATCCAAAAATTCAAAATCTGAAATGTTTCAGTGAGCATTTCCTTTGAATGTCATGTTGATGCTCAAAAAATTTTAGGTTTTTGGATTAGGGATGCTCAAACCTATAGTATATACCTACACGGTGCTGTCTGGGATACAAAGAAGAATTGGATTAATTCCTTGTCCTTGAGGCACTTTTGAAGTCTTATTGACCCCAAATGTTTCATGTATGAAAGAATTCAAGAGCTATGTAAAACTATGTGATTAAAAGCTAAATTTTCATAGTATGTATAAATATAAGAGAAGAACAGATTATTGTAGGCTAGAGAAATTAGCCAGAACTTTATTTTGAATTAGTGCCTGTTTTGTTTAACTTCAGCATTTAGTTATCCCTCCTCCCTGTTATTTGTAGTGACTATTTTCTCCCCTTTCCCTTTCTTTGATGATTTATTTGTATAAACCCTAGAGATAAAGAACTCTTTGTTGGGAACATTTCATTATGGGATAGAGAATATTTGTCACAATGATATGAGTAGTAAATACCCATTTCTATGTTACTTCTGGATGTAATTATTTGCTCCTTACATAAACTAGTCGAATCCCAGAAAATAACTATAAAACTGAGCTTGGAAGGGTTTGGTTTTCAGCACAGGAGACATGAGTATACAAGTGTCTGAATTTTGTATGCGTCTGCATAAATATCTAGCTGGAAAACATATCTGTTTCAAAGTCAAGTCACGCAGTTCTTGGCAATATCCACACTGTATATCTCCAAGTGGAAAATATTTGCCTGCTAAAAAAGCTTTTAAAACATTGAAGTTTACTGTGAAGTCTTTGACTATTTGGGAATAAAACTGTATTTTTATTGAGCCTAAAATGCTTTCAAAACCTATCATTTGTCTTCACAGTTATCCCTATGAGCAAAATAGTTGATGTAATTTTATAGATTAAATTTTGTTTGAGATCGACATTACAAATATTTATTTTATTTTATTTTTCTAGGAGGGAAACTTAAAGAGATATCCAACACCATACCCAGATGAGCTTAAGAATATGGTGAAAACTGTTCAAACCATTGTACATAGATTAAAAGATGAAGAGACCAATGAAGACTCTGGAAGAGACTTGAAACCATATGAAGATCAGCAAGTTACAAATAAAGACGTTGGTGTGAAGGTTAGAAAACTCAGTTCCAAAAGATTGACTATAGCTTATTTCAAGTTCTTTAAAATTTTTAGATGACAATTGATATAATGATCCTTTTTTTTTTAAAGATGACCGGTAAGGGGATCTTAACCCTTGACTTGGTGTTGTCAGCACCACGCTCAGCCAGTGAGCAAACCGGCCATCCCTATGTGGGATCCGAACCCGTGGCCTTGGTGTTATCAGCACCGCACTCTCCCAAGTGAGCCACGGGCCGGCCCTAATGATCCTTTTTTATGTACACTAAATGCACTTCCAAATTTATAGTTTTGTTCTCTGTAACCTGAATCAGGAAGCTATAATAGTCAATAAACTCCATAATTGCTATTATTACCATTCTTTGGCTATAGAATGTCCAGATTGGCAGAGAAGTATCAATACAGCCTTTAAAAAATCATTTCTGGGCTGGCCAGTTAGCTCAGTTGGTTACAGTGCAGCCTTAGAACACCAAGGTCACAAGTTTGGATCCCCATACCAGCCAGCCACAAAAAATCATTGCCTAACTAAAGAATAAGATAATGAATGTCAGTAAAGTTATGATGTTAAGATTCTTCTTTTCCTCCTGTTTATATTGATTTACTTTACCCAATTCTAATTTTAAATGTAATTGCTATGGCAGACATTTGACATTTCCTTGGGATGTTTCAGAAACTCACAAATCCCTAGGTTGTATATTCCTTTAATGGGCTTTCCACACACATACACACACACACGCACGCACGCACACACACGCACGCACACGCACGCACACACGCACACATATTGTATCACAGAAACAAAAGTTTTATCATGTCATTAGAGTTACTACACATTCTGCAAGGAGCAGAAAACAATCTTAACCATTCTAAGTTGAGCTTGCTGTACTAAATGACTCACTCATCCATATCAGTCTTGCAACTTCTAAGAGGAAAAGTAGCCTTGGCTAAATTATGAGTTTTAATATGGCTTATAGATCTTTGGGGGCCACCTGTTTAATCTGTGAGAGCTACAGTTAGTTTTCTTGTGTAAGATTTATCTAGATTTGGAAGTGGATACATTTGTAAATTTTTATTTGACCTTTAATATAAGAATAGATATAAAACTTAAAGAATATGAGTTCTTTATCTTTTCTTTTACTTAGACTTCAGAAAGTACTACTCCAATAAAAAGCAAGGTTGATGAAAGAGAAAAGTATATGATAGGGAATTCTATACAGAAGATTAATGAACCTGAAGCTGAGATCAGTCCTGGGAATTTACCAGTGACTGCAAATATGAAAGCCTCTGAGAGCCTGAAGCATATTGTTAACCATGATGATGTTTTTGAGGTATGACTTTACAATTATTGTGGAGTAATCATAAGAACTTTCAATTTAGTATTTCATTGTTGCTAACTAAAGATAGAACCTGATATTGATTGCAAAAATATGTTAATGCATTTGTCATTGAGAAATTTCATACTTGCTAAAATATCATTTATCACTTTAAACTTATTTCTTATACCCTTTGTGCTCAAATGTTTAACTACTATGTATATTATATTACACAGGGTCTTTTCTCCTATAAAAAACATACTTGTAATTGCTTTTATTTCTGTAACTTGAAAAGACTGCAATAGGTATATTCAGTTATTTGACTTATTTAGGCATTTTAAGATGTAGAGTTCCTTCTAGTGGATCAGCAGAAGCTGTAACTTTATTTTTAAAACGGGTTTATTGGGGCTGGCCGGTTAGCTCAGTTGGTTAGAGTGTGGTGCTGATAACACCAAAGTCCAAGGTTTGATCCCTATATCCAGCAGCCACCAACCCCCCCCCCCCCCCCCCCACCCCCCCCCCCCCCCCCCCCCCCCCCCCCCCCCCCCCCCCCCCCCCCCCCCCCCCCCCCCCCCCACGGGTTTATTGGGGCTGGCCGGTTAGCTCAGTTGGTTAGAGTGTGGTGCTGATAACACCAAAGTCCAAGGTTTGATCCCTATATCCAGCAGCCACCAACCCCCCCACCTCCCCCCAAAAACAGCTTTATTGAGATACAATTCAGATACCATAAAGTTCACCCACTTAAAGTATACAATTTAGTGGCTTTTAGTATATTTACAAAGTTGCGCAACTATCACCACATTCACTTTTAGGATATTTTTATCATCCTAGGAAGAAATCTTGTACTCCTTAACTATCACTTCCTAATCTCTCCATCCCTCTTAGCTCTAGGCAACCAAAAATATACTTTGTGTCTCTATAGATTTGCCTACTGACATTTCATATAAATGGAATTATATAATGTATGGTCATTTGTGACTGTTTTATTTCACTTAACATGATGTTTTCAAGTTTATCTGTGTTGTACCATATATCAATACTGCATACATTTTTATGGCTGAATAATATTCCATTGTATGTATGTGCTGCATGTTGTTTATCCATTCTTCAATTGATGGACATTTGGGTTATTTCTATTTTTTGGCTAAAATGAATAAGATTGCTGTGAATATTTATGTTCAGGTTTTGTGTGGATATATATTTTAATTTCTGTTGGGTATGGGAATGGAATTATTGGATCTTATGGTAACCATATGTTTAACTGTTTGAGGAACTGCCAAACACTTTTCCAAAGTGGTTGCACCATTTTATTTATTTTTTTTCCATAAACAAGAACTTTATTAAACTACATGTTATATAAAAGAACATATAAATGGACCTTTAAATATATTCAGTTCATCTTAAAGAAATTTACATAGAAACTTATTTACATTTTTCCATTGTATACTTAAATTATTTTTCTAAGCTTACTACCTGCTCACACAGATAAATACACAGATGTTGTTCACAAGGCTAAGTAAAACACCACTTCTCAGGAAACCCAGCTTATTAGATTTTACAGCAACCACTCATTCTGAAGTGCTTTCTTCTGAGTAGCCCTGAAGTAAGGCCTTTGCAGGGGTTGGCTCTGAGAAGCTGATCCCAGGGCAGAGATGGGTCCTTGGTGGTTTGTATGACCTGGACTCTTAGAGGTGGAAGGAGCCTTGGAGACTATTGAGGCCATGCCCCCCTGGCTGTGGGCTGGGAAACAGAGGCTTAGGGGGAGGAAATGACTTGGCAAGTTCATAAAACATCAATGATGGAGGAGGGACTGGGACCCTGGTTCCCAGGATCCCTCTATGGGACCCTCATAACATTGCTGGTGGTGATGTAAAATGGTAAAGCTGTAACTTTTTAATATAAATATCTGAAGTATTTTTGATTTATGGCTACATTGTCCAATGTAATACACATTAGTAACAAGTGGCTTTTTATGTTTAAGTTAAATTAAGATTGAACTTCTTGGTCACACTAGCCACATTTCACATGATCAGTAGCTATATCTGGGTAGTTGATGGCTAACATTACCACACACTAGCACAAATTTAGAGCATTTCCATCATTGGAGAAAGTTATGTTGAATAGCATTCATATATAGAAATAGTTATTTGTTGTGGGTTATAAGAACATGTTTATTCTTGAAAATTCAAAATGCATTCAAAGCACATAATTTATTTTTATGGTTATCTTGTGAGCTATCATTTACTACAAGAAAAAACTCATGGCTTTTGAATGTACATTAAATGGATAACATCCTTCAATATACTGTTGTATGCATCGAAGCTAATATAATCTGCAAAAAAGTTATTAGGTTTGTTTAGTGAAATTTCTATATGTAAGGCACTATGTAACTACTGATGAAATGGGTAAATATATAGATAAAAATGAATACAAATATAATCAAGGGTAGACTGTGCTAAGTGTGTAAGAAAAGTATTAAGTGTGTTACAGAAATTTAGGAAAGAGGTCTTTTCTGTCTGAAGATTCATGGATCCTTTCAGGAGGCCTTTGATCTATATTTTGAAAGATTTTAATTGGCAGAAATAGAAGAACTGAATAAAATGTGGAAGAAATAATGAGAGCAAAAGAATGGTGCTTGGAAAATGTGGAAAAGAACATGTTTCATTTGACTGAACATGTCAGGGGCAATATTATGAAATGAAATCAGTAGAGTAGATTGGGTCCTGATTATGAAGGCCCTTGAAAGCCATGCTAAGAATAGAACTTAATGTTCTATTCTTTGGGGAACTACTGAAGGCTTTTTAACAGTATTACTGTGATAGAGCTATGTATTAGTGTTATATTACAACAGGTACTGAATTCTCAAAGTTTGATGGCTTTTTGAATAAGGATAGCAGAAAACACAGGCTGAACATGAGTTGTGAGAATATTACAGGAGATGTAGCACGTGCATATCTGGCTACAAAAAAAGGGAGAAGAGGGAACAGTCACATAACCGTGCTTCATTAGAATGATGATGCCATTAACAGAATAGGGGTGTTAAGAGAACAAACAGGCTTGGAAGGACAGGTGTACTTTTGGAAATGTGGAATTTGAACAATTGGTGAGGCTCTCGGTTAAACATGTCCAACAGAAATGTGAATCTTTAGCTCAGAAGAAAAATCAAAGCTAGATTATAAATTGGGGAATTGTCTATAGGAAGCATAGTCATTGAATAAAATGCAATATCCAAGGGGAAAGAACAGGAAAGGAAAAAAAAAATGTGAGCTAACTGCAAGAAGATTAATTGACATGAGCAAAGGGGACAGGTGAGAGGAGATTTAGGAAACTGCAGTTCCCAAAAGCCCATGCATAATATAATTTCTTAAAGGAAAAAGTGTAGTCAGTAGTATAAATGCTGCAGATATCAATGATTAAGGTGGACCATTTGCTCTTCTTTCTCCTGTTCTCTCATTCATTCTCTCATTAAGTCCTGATTAATCCAAAATTTCTGTGAAATTCTTTTCTCTTTACCAGCCACCACTGCCATTGCCTAAGGCAAATGTGGTCTTTTTCTTAAGGACTGTGGTGATACAGGCTAAATATCTCTTATCTGAAATGCTTGGGCACCAGAAGTGTTTTGGATTTCAGATTTTTTCAGATTTTGGAATATTCGCAGAATATGTACTGGTTAAGCATCCTTAATCCAAAAATCCAAAATGCTCCAATTAGCATTTCCTTTGAGTGTCATGTCAGTACTCAAAAAGTTTTGGATTTTAAAGCATTTTGGATTTCAAATTTTCAGATTAGGAATGTTCAGCCTGTAGCTAGATTCCTTTTTGCCAGTCTGTTTCTTTTCATGTACATTCTTAATGCCAAAGTTAACATTTTAAAGCACAATTCTGATTTTGTGAGTTCCTAGCTTGGCAACTTCAATAATGACCAGTACATCCTCAATTGAGTCCATACTCACCTTTCACCTGGCAATCCAGTCTACCCTTTTTGTCTCTCTTGCCTCTCTTGCCTCTTATCCTGCGCTCCAGTTGCAGGGAGCTGACTTGCCATACCTTTCCTTATTTCCATGATTCCCTTTACTCAAAATACCATTCCCCTCTTTACTCACTTTTCAAGACTAAATTGAGTTTACCTTCTTTTCCTCTACTAAGTAGCAGCCTTTAACTCTTTTCATTGTAGTACAGTCTCGAACAGGGGTGGCAGACTATGGCCTGTGGACTAATAAATCCAGCCCACTGCCTGTTTTTGTATGACTCGCAAGCTGAGAACAGCTTTACCTTGCTAAAAGGTCGATTAAAAATCAGTAGAAGAATAATTTGTTATGACATGAAAATTACATGAAATTCAAATTTTACTGTACATAAAGCTTTACTGGAACTCAGCCACACTCATTGTTTATATATTGGTTTTGACTTTTTGTGTCACAACAGCAGAGTCGAATAGTTAAAACAGAGATCATGTGTCCTGCAAAACCTAAAATATTTATTGTCTGGCCTTTTACTGAAATAGTTTACTGATCCCAATTCATGTCTTTAATATGGCACTTATGAGTTCTGAAAGTCTCAGTACTTTTAACAAAACATGTTTTTTAAGGACTTTTGATTTATTTTCATCATATTAACTAGGAATAAGTTAGCCTGCAGAAGATCTGATTTCATATACAGCATATACAATATGAAAATTTTTCAACTAATATTTGTTGACTAACAAGTCATTTTCTTTGCTGTCTGATAGCACTCAGTGGTAGGTAATCTGGGATGGTTACCAAATAGAGAAAAATTCTTGGAGAATAACAATAAATTCTGTCCTTGGGTTGGGTAAAAATTGTCACTAGTTCATTTTGATGCCAGACCACCTCCATCAGTCTGATTCCTTGGAACTTAGATCCTTAAAAGAATAAATTTGAGGTTAGGGAGAAACTTTTTGTTGAGGCACCCTCTCTACTGAGTTTTTCAAAGGCAAGGATTGTGTTCTATTCATTTTTGTTTGTCTAGCACTTGACATAGTACCAGGCACATAGTAATCATCAGTATACATGAATTAAGGCCTGCTGCAGAAAATTATCCCATAGATACTTTGGCATATTGGTAATAATTGCCATAGTTTATTTTATTGCCATATCTTGAAAAAGTCAAATCATATACTAGTTTTAGTCACTATTTACCATAAAAAGGTTTCATACATATTCTTAATATTCTTTGTTTTCTCTTTGAAGTTCATATGACTTAATATTTTATTCATTTAAACAAACCAAAATTTAATTTTTATATTTTCCCCTTTTTTTCTTTAAACTAGGAATCTGAAGAACTTTCTTCTGATGAAGAGATGAAAATGGCAGAGATGCGACCACCGTTAATTGAAACCTCTATTAACCAGCCAAAAGTTGTAGCACTTAGTAATAACAAAAAAGGTTAGATGTTGAAGGAAAACACTAAGAATAGAAAATGGCCTGAGTAAAATCTATAAATGTTTTTTGAATAAATTTCATTGAATGTCATGTTATTTAAAATATATTTTAGAAACAATTTTTTAAACATGTCTTTCTGAAGAGTTCTCCTTCCTTATCTCTCACTTTTAAAGAAAGATCTAGATAGATTTTTTTTCTCTTCTCTCATGCAGATTTACTTATAAGAGCGTGGACTTTACAGGCAGATAAGCCTAAATTATAATTCCATTTCTTCTGCTTATTTGCGGTGTGATCCTTGAGCTACATAATTTTACCCATATGTACATAATCTAATTTGGCATACAGTGAGTCTACTGAAGGAATTTTATATTAAATGGACTAGATTATGTAAAGTATTCGGATCTAGCACTTTTTTTTAAACATTCTTCCCCAACCCCTGCCAGCCATTCTTTCATGTAATAGAACCTCAGACTCTTAGATATCTATTCCTTTCCTCACCCTTCACCACCAGTGCCTCTACATCATCTCAACCAAATGTTTATCCAGCCTTTTGCCTTTATGGCATCAGTGATACTTAACTATCAAGTTGGCCCATGGGTAGCTTGGATTCATAATAATTGTGTTAGTGATAACTAGTGCTTGTTGAAATTTTACTAGTTTCTTAGGTACTATGCTAAATATTTTTTTACATTTTACTATCTAATTATCATAATAGCCCCATGATGAGGAAAAAAAGGAATGTATCTAGGAGAGAACAACCATCTAGTTTAACAGTATTTAAAAATTAAGAATCTAGTACCCAAATACCTTGAGGTCGAGGTTGCAGAGCCCCATTTGCTACTGTTTTTAACTGTAAGCACATCCATACTACTTGAGCTGAGCTCCTAAGATCTAAGAACAGCAAAAATATTCTTAATTCATATATTCTTCTGTGGATGTATTTATATACACTGTTTCCGTGATTTGGCTAGAATTGACTTAACAACAGACTTTTTATCACTACTTTTAAAAAATGCTACTTTTTACACTACTTGCCTGTAATAGAATATGAACCCTTGTTTATTTCTGTTTATATAATTGCTACACACAAAATCATCTCACATATCGAGAGTTTACCATTTATAAACAATTCTATGAAATGCTCTAAAAACGTGAAGAAATGAGAGAGCTGGCCTTTGAAAATCCCTTGATTTGTTTGGTGACTGTATGTATGTTTGTGGATTGACTGCATTGCTCATTTTTATTATCAGAATAGATGAAAATTTCACACACATGAAATAATTTCTTATCCAGATGAGTTTACAAAGGTTGTGAATTGTAACTATATTTTTTTGCTATGAATTTTTAAAAATTGTAAATGGGTAGAAAGCAAATTCACTAAAATTAATTGATGACCTTTGAAAACAGTGCATATCATCATCTTGTCAGTGGTTTAACTCAAATTCTGGGTAATTCTAACATTGGTTACATTTTTTAAAAAATGGTAGTACTATTTTAAAATTAGTTAATCTTGTGTGTATTAGGACTGCATTTTCAGGGCTGTATCTGGTTATCTTCTTTATTACCTCATATATGGAACCAGGACGTTATAAATGCCATTTGTCATCACTGAAAAGCACTCCACACAGATTCTTGGTGAATTTATCATTGGTCTTAAATTTTCTTTTGTTTCAGATGATACAAAAGATACAGATTCTTTGTCAGATGAAGTTACACACAATAGCAATCAGAATAACAGCAATTGTTCTTCTCCATCTCGGATGTCTGATTCAGTTTCTCTTAATACTGATAGTAGTCAAGACACCTCACTGTGCTCTCCAGTGAAACAAACTCATATTGATATTAATTCCAAAATCAGGTTTGTGAATATATTACAAAATTATTTATATAATAAATAGAAATAGGAAGGCAAATAATAAATGACTGAAACATGAACGGTTTTACAAGTAAATATTATAGAAGTAGTTCAGGCAGTATATGTTTTCTTTCCTCCATTTTATTACTGATTGTCTATTTAGTTTTAATAAATTTCCATTTAAATTTTTTTAAATTAGTTTTTTAAACGGGGAAGAAAAGACTTAAAATTGATTCTACACCTCTTGATTAAAAGATTGAACAGTTATATAATATTTCCATGTATTATAACATAAACAGTCTAAGTTATAAAGGTATTTTTATAGTTAAAAATGCAAAGTAATTTTGGGGGGATGCCATTGAAGGGTTCACTCAAATTCTTTTGACTGTTGCTTTATACTTAGTTTACACTTAATTTTGTAGTTCAGACTCTTTGAAAAAGGTGAAAATGTTAACTTATTTCCTGTAGCCTGGAAGTTAATGGAAGTTTAAAACAAATTTTATTAATTAGGTCTTAAGAAATTTGGTTATCAAGTCAAGACCATGCCATTCTACCTTGGTATTAGTCTTATCACCAAGAGTCTGCTTGAGAGAAAGATTTGGGTTACTACTGAACAAAAAGCTTGTATAGATATTTTAACTGCCATTTAGAGTTAAATTGTTCTTAAATTCCAGGCATATTTCAGTAAAATTTGTGTATTAATTTGGATTGTAAAAGGAAGACAAATTTTATACCTGGAAATGAGTTCAGATATTGTGTAGTTGTGATTATGATTAATCATTTATATATATCCTCTGAATTTGAGGCTGTGACCCAGTGTTTTAAAATACTTATTTTTATAACCTCTTAGATGTTAAGATAATTATTAACTTGTTGAATGATAAAATTTTACTTATTTACTGTTGGGAAGTGGTATGGTATTTTATAAATCCTGTTTTTTATATAATGAAATATAGGATAAGCAAGGAATATAGCAACACATTTTTGTGCTGTATTTCTAATAATGAATGTTATCTTTTGCCTAGTGGGAAGATCAATATTAAGGAATATTTGTGGAAACATAACCTGAATATTTATACAAGAGGACATACATAAGTTCATACCACCAAGTAGAAACAAAATATTTTCTATAGTTTTGGAATGGCACATTTATAAAATATTTGCTCAGTACAACATAGCCACTTAGAAGATACATTAGATTTAGTTTCTGTTCTGATCCCTTTTACATATTTAATGGACAACTTTGGGCATTTATTCAGTCTTTGCTTTGTACAATTCCTTTATCTATATATTTGAATTTAATGATAACTACTTAGTTGATATGGTTAATTGTGGTTAATAATGTAAGGTTTCAGAATTACCTATAAAAATATCCTGTGCTCGTTACTCAACTATTCGAGTTATTGGCTTTCTCTTCTATGTATCTGCCCATCTTCAAGCATTTCACTTTTTAGCATATTCGTGAAAAGATGCAGCAGCAGAAGAGGATACATGATTCCACTTTTGTTTGTAATTTAGCTCTATTAAACTATTTTGTGACAAATTAGATTAAGCATAGTGATAGGTATAGTATACCTACACATTAACTAGTTATTAATGTTTTCTGTTACTAAGAAGTCTTGGCTTTTTTATGTTTTTCATAAAATTATGTTTATTTTAGGCAAGAAGATGAAAATTTTAACAGCCTTTTACAAAATGGAGGTATTTTACACAATTCAACAGAGGAAAAATTTAAGGTTCATGATAAAAAAGATATTAACTTACCTGAATATGAGTTGAATATTGAAGAGCGATTAGTTCTAATTGAGAAAGGTGTTGACTCAACAGCCACATCTGATGAATCTCACAAATTAGACCATATCAATATGAATCTTAATAAACTTGTAACTAATGATACATTTCAACCAGAGATATTGGAAAGATCAAAGACACAGGATATAGTGCTTGGAACAGACTTTTTAAACATTAATTCTAAAGGGGAAGCTGAGCACTTGGAAAATGGGAACAAGTATCCTAATCTGGAATCCATAAACAAGGTAAATGGACATTCTGAGGAATCTCCACAGTCTCCTAGTAGGACTGAACCACATGACACTGATTCTTCTGTTGACATGGGTATTTCCAAAAGCACTGAAGATCTCTCCCCTCAAAAAAGTGGTGCAGTTGGATCTGTTGTGAAATCTCATAGCATAACTAATATGGAGACTGGAGGGCTAAAAATTTATGACATTCTTAGTGATAATGGACCTCAGCAGCCAAGTGCAACAGTTAAAATCACGTCCGTTGTTGATGGAAAAAATATAGTCAGGAGCAAGTCTGCCACACTGTTGTATGATCAACCATTGCAAGTATTTACTGGTTCTTCTTCATCTTCTGATTTAATGTCAGGTACAAAGACAATTTTCAAATTTGATTCAAATCATAATCCCGAAGAGCCAAATATAACAAGAGGCCCCACAACAAGTGGCCCACAATCTGTGCCTCAAATATATGGTCCTCCACAATATAATATACAGTACAGTAGCAGTGTTGCAGTCAAAGAAACTTTGTGGCACTCCAAACAAAATCCCCAAATAGATCATGCCAATTTTCCTCCTCAGCGTCTTCTTAGGTCAGAGAGCACAGAAAATCACAGTTATGCTAAACATTCTGCCAATATGAATTTCTCTAACCATAATAATGTTCGAGCTAATACTGCATACCATGTACATCAGAGACTTGGCCCAGCAAGACATGGGGAAATGTGGGCCATCTCACCAAATGACCGACTCACCCCTGCAGTAACTAGAACTACGATTCAGCGACAAAGTAGCATGTCCTCTACGGCCTCTGTAAGTCTTGGCGATCCAGGTCCCACAAGGCGGGCCCAAATTCCCGAAGGAGATTATTTATCATACAGAGAGTTAAATTCAGCAGGAAGAACTCTTCCAGTGATGTCAGGATCGCAGAGACCTCTTTCTGCACGAACATACAGCATTGATGGTCCAAATGCATCAAGGCCTCAGAGTGCTCGACCCTCTGTTAATGAATTACCAGAGAGAACTATGTCAGTTAGTGATTTCAATTATTCACGGACTAGTCCTTCAAAAAGACCAAATGCAAGGGTTGGTTCTGAGCATTCTTTATTAGATCCTCCAGGAAAAAGTAAAGTTCCTCATGATTGGCGAGAACAAGTGCTTCGACACATTGAGGCCAAAAAGTTAGAAAAGGTAATTGAACAGGAGTTTTTAGTTTTCCTCTTTATGACTTACTTTTTAAAAAAGTATTTGGCATTCTTTGTTTTTTTAAACAAGGTGAAACAAGGTACTCTGAATTATTATCTGCTTCTAGGAGTTTTTCTCTGGTACTGGGATTAGATTAAAGTTCCAAGTTTAAATTTAGCCAGGACAGTTGAGATGGGAGTGTAAGCTTCTTTCCTCTTTCTAACTCCCCAATGTTTCTAATGGGTATATATTTATTGTATATGTTTATACATTTATCTCTTTTAGATTGTGCATACATACTGGAAATAATATGTGTGCCTCTGTTTAGCATTTTCTGACTTTCTGCCCTCTATTAATAATTGTTGATTATGAAAATATAAGAAAGTAGCAGTTTACTATATATTTAACAGAAAAATGAGAAATGTATTGCAAATGTAAATATTTGATATAAGATATTTTCCCAGTCCATGTTGTATTAACTAACATTGTCACTGACACAGATGGCTTCTGGCATGGCATTTATTCTTGACATTTCTGAACTGCACTTCGAACCTACTTGGCCTCAGTTAGTGTTTCTGTGGCTCTTAGTGTAGCTTGGAAATAGTTGGTAAAATAACTAATGTTCATGTACAGTTTATAACTTTATGTGTAAATTTTCATCTTTTGAAAGGAGTTAAACTTAAAAAAAATTATCCTGTAAAGCACGTATTAGTGCCATAGTCTTGCCTATAGTCTTGTGGCCCAAGTGTATATAATGCATATTCATTCTTTAAGATTTAGCTCCATATTTCTCACTAGATTTTACCCAAGAATTATCTTTCTTCTGTTTATTAAATATAAATCGTGTTTTTTAAGACAGCTGACCCTCCATCCCCCAAAACAGCTGAACATATACAGGCTCAGTCATTATGTTAAAAAATTTCTTAAATAAAAATTTTCAGAAATAAATGCCTAAAATCTGGTTAGTAAATTTTATCAATTCACATTAAATCTCAACCTATAATTGTTAGCTCTTTTCAGTGCAGCTCTCTCTCATCTGTCCTTTTGTTTCAGCTATAACTCTACATGCCTTTGAGACTATTTGAACTTGTGTGCGTTTTCCAGGGAATTTGGAAATTTCTTAAGCAGAGGAGTAACGTAGCTGTGTTTTATAAATAAACTTCCGGTGACTGTGGAACTGGATTTTAGGAGGAAGCAGTAATAATCAAAAGATAGTGAGTTATGAGGCCATTTAGTGTTCTAGATAAATGTGAACTCATTAGTGGAGTTGAGACAAAGGAATGAATTCAAGAGACAGTTCTGAAACAGACTGTACAGGAGTTTTCTTCTAATTGAATATGCCTGTAATCAGTCATTGAGGAAAAGGGATAAAGCTTGAATAACTGGGTTTTGGGAATGCCATTAACTATTACTGGATGTAGAGGAGGAGTAGCAGATTAGGAGGGTGAAATGAATCTGGTTATTGTATTCTATGTAGTTTCCATCTCAGATGGCTATTCTCCCACTCTTTTCTGTCTGACAGAGATGTGTCTGGACTTCAGTAAATAGGAAGCAATTAGCTATCTCATTGTTTAGTGTGCCTCTCAGCTTTTTTCCCCATTGCATAAAATATTTACATATTTAGAAATTTGCTATACAGTTTCTTGGAGAGTGTATGACAGTAATTTTCCAGTTGTGTGTGACCACTGGTGACTTAGAGGTGATAATTAGTTCAGTGAAACCAAGAAAAGCCTTGTGAGAAAAGAAACAGGGCACACTGTCTGAACACAAATCTGTAGCTGATAGAATAACTTCTATTTCCAAGGATACATAGGGGTCATACCTTGAAGTTAAGAGGAGTGCTCTTTCCCGTAATATACTTGCCAAGACACCCGCTTCCCAGGCTACTAGTTGACTAGTGAGTGCACTTTGGTATATTCCAGCTCATTGGTTGGGAAGCATTTCCAGCAAATACCAAAGTGTGTACTGCTATTACTATAGCTGTGCTGTATTATTTCTAGGGTATATTATTCTCCATGTCTTTCTTAGATGTATTCTGTGTTTGCTTTTTCTGATCTTAAAAAGTATTCACATGTGGGATTGCCTTTACTTAATCTTTTGTAAAAGTTTTATCTTCAGATATATTGTATTACCAAAAATGGATTCATACATTTGATAAACCACATTTAACAAGGATTTATCAGAAAATAAATGTTACCTCTCCTTGACTTTTTTTTCCCCTTGACTTTTCGAGTGAAAAAAGATTTTAGCTACTGTACTATATAACATTTAGAGAGACAGTATATTCTACCTATTCAGAATCCTAGCTCAGCTACATAGTTAGCAACTTGGACAAATAACTTAGATTTTCCTTACCTCAGTTGCTTCATCTGTAAAACAGGTGCAATGAAAGGAACTGCTCTGGGATTGTTTTAAAAATTGAGTTAATACACATAAAGCACTTAAGAATGGTACCTGGTATATATAACTAAGTGCTAAATATTGCTGTCATCCTTATCACCATTTGTTCAAATATTTAAAAATTATCAGCTGACTAAAGTTGATATTTTTTATTTAGAACACCTAAATACTTTATTTTAAAATAGATTATTTTATGGTGGTAAAACAATTGTGTTTTTCTTGAAATTAAAAAAACCCAAACACTTAAAACTATAGTTCCTAATTTTTAAATATAAGCAGATTTCCTGTATCAGAGATAAAGTCCTTCCCAGGAAATTAAGACAGTTTTTATGTTGTTGAGATGGTAAGAATTTGCTTTATACACCCATTTGGCAAGGGTGATGGTCTTGAATAAAATTTTTATATACTTATCTGACAGGAAAAATGCCAATAAAATATCAACAGACATTTAGCTGAGTTATATGTTTATTCATATACACACATATATGTACATATATATATATATATATATATATATACACACACACACACTACATGTACAGTCATGCATCTCTTAATAACAGGGATATGTTCTGAGAAATGCATCATCAGGCGATTTTGTCATTGTGGGAACACCAGAGTGTGCTTATACAAACCTAGATCGTATAGCTTGCTACACACCTAGGCTGTATAGCCTAATGCTCCGACTACTATTATATATGCAGTATGTCACGAAATGTTATACGGTACAAGACTGTACGCATAAAACTACTATTAAAAAAACAGAAATTTATGGGCCGGCCCGGTGGCGCACTCGGTAGAGTGCGGCGCTTGGGAGTGCGGCAGCGCTCCCGCCGAGGGTTCGGATCCCATATAGAGACCGGTCTGCTCACTGGTGGAGCGTGGTGCGGGCGCGACACCGAGGGTTGCGATCCCGTTGCCAGTCCCGGTACGGGCGCGACACCGAGGGTTGCAATCCCGGTACGGGCGCGACACCGAGGGTTGCGATCCCATTACCGGTCGCGAAAAAAGACAAAAAGGAAGAAAAAAAAAAACAAATTTAAAAAGAAATTTGGTATTTTCCTCATAGCTTTATTATTAGTCATCTCTTGTTCAGAAAATATAATTATGGTTCAGAAAGTTATTTTGTAGTTTCGAAGATAATTATAGTTCAGAAGATGAAATTTTAATGTATTAATGGTAATTATCTCTCAATGAGATTTTTAGGACTTTTTAATACATTTCTACAGTGTTTTCATTTTAAAAAATTAAAAACTAGTGATAAGTGTCAGTAATTACAGAAGATGGGGACTATTCAAGGAGAGTGCTACTTTTTGAAAAACTGGTAAAATTTTGATACATAGGATTAAGGTTAATAGATTAAGATAAAAGTTATGTCAGGAAGGAGTTCTGAGAGCAGGGAGAGATGAGGACTTTAAGCTCGTTGAATTAGGGATTTATTCTGAGAAAATTTGGTAATGAAGTTGGGGCCAGATTACAGATATGGAAAGTCATAACAACAGTTAAGTTTATTTAGTGCTTACAAAGTGCTAGAAACTGTCACTCTTACAGTAACCCTCTATACAAATATTTCTCAGTTTTTATACAAGTCCTATGAGGTATTTTATTATATCATTTTACAATAAGGAAATTAAGGCATAGAATAGTTAAGTAATTTTCCCATGATGATATATATGTGGAAGAGAGGGAACAACTTTTAAAAGCTGGGCAGGAAAATTTCAGTTTGACTATGTAGATGATGAGGAGCCTGAGCAGAAGACTGATAGGATAAAAGATGTATTTTAGGGTATCTCAGTCAAAAGTGTTCAGGATGAATTAAAGATATTTTGTGAACCAGTTTCAGTAATAAAACAACCAGATGGTGCATGCCTGGGCTAGGATTGTGGCTGTAGTGGGGATGACTCTTTAAAACACTTTGACAAAAATTAGTTTTAGTGATTAGATGAAAGGATTCAAGAAACAGCCAAGTTTTCTAGTTTGTAATATTTGGTCATAAACATTAAAAAAAAAAAAGTCCTAGTAAGTCTTAGTAGTTAGGATAATGGAGTCCTTTTAAAGCTATGTGGTACAGTAAACAGATTTGGCAAAAAATAACTTGGTTTTGAATATATTGAATTTGATGTAATGATAGTGTTTGCAAGTAGTTTGGAACACAATATGAAATTAGGGGGGTTAGTGATGCAAATTTGAGATACAAATCATATAAGTAAGTAAGTTTTCCTAGGCAATAATTATGTAGGGTAAGAATAAAGTTATTTTCTCTTTCTGAGAGATACCAAAAAGATAAATATATTGTTTTAAGTAATTTTAAATTGCTGATATTGTTAGACATTTACTATTCCAAAGGCAGTTCATTCAAATTCCAATTCCATGATAAGTGCACACTAAAGACTTCCTCAGCATCTCTTCCCACCTCCATAGCTTTAACTTCTAGGACTTTTATCCTAGCAGATAAGAGTGGTTTAAAGTACATGCTGTACATTTTGAGGGATTTTAGAGATTTTCTAAGATTACTTTAGACCGTTTTGTGATTTTTTTTTTTTACTATATATGCAAACCTGATCCTAAACCCTGCACATACTGTTGAAAATGGTTCTTTTGTATTTTTCTGGGAATAATTTACCACTGTTCTGCCAGCATCCTCCTAAAAATCATACCCTTCAATAAAAATAATTTAGTATTTTTAATATTGAACCATAATTTAAGTAATTTGCACAATGAAAATAACCCTATATTTTAGTTTTATTTCTGCAAGTCCACAGTGTAGTTTAAAGACTTGTTTTCTTTTTATATGTTCAAAAACATACTAAAAACATTAAAATGATTCTGAAAGTTGTTTTATTTATAAAAACTATTTTGTGCTGCTTTCTTAACTCTTATTCCATAGATGTAAGAATCAAAGTATATGGGCGGCAAAAGAATATTGAAAGTGCTACTTAAATACGTTACTAATGAGCTACTTTAAAGTTAGGAGTCTAAATCATGCTGCTATTAAAGTATTGGTTCAAGGTGGTGAAGGGTGAAAAAGCCACCCCCCCCACCCACGTCCCCACAATCATAACTCCAATAGCAGAGGACATTTAAAATTTTCCCCAGGGAATTTCACAATGCATGCCCTACCTCATGAGGTAAGTCTCCAAATTAAAGTTTGCTACTTTGCTCAGCTGGGAGTTTAGTAGTAATAATTTATTGAAGCTTAAGTGGTTTTTAAACCTTTTTGTAGTCACCCCACCTTCCTCCTACCCCAAAAACACTGTATCTGGAATCCAAACATACAAAATAGATCTTACCTTGAAAATCTTGAAACTTACTTAAAAAAAACAGCTTTGAAAATGAATATAAATTTTTTATTTCAAAGTTGAATTGTTACTAATATCAGCATTTGGGTAATATCCCTTATATAAAAACGCACATATGAAGCAATCCAAACCATAGTGTGATTAACACAACATGATAAATGCCATGTTCACTTGTTATTATACAACTATCAGCATATAATGAACCACACTGCCCAGGACGTTATGCCTAGTGTTTAATTGAGCTCTGCACAATGTGTTATGACAGAGTGCAGTTTTTATGTGGATGTCCATGCACAAGCCAGAATTCAAATCAGACAGACCTGTTTTGAGCTTCAGTCTTACCAGTCAGTGAAATATTTAAGCTCATATATGTTCAGACACAGAAAAAATTTGTTCCAAGATCTATGTGTCATTAAAAAGGGTCAATCAGGCCATTCAAGTTAATATGTTAAAGCTATGTGTGTAACAAATGAGTGTGATTTATATATGTTTGTGTGTGTGTACATTAATGATTTGTTTATTTTTGTATTCGAATCAAGTATTCATGGAACCTCTGAATTGCCTCTGCTAAATTCTCCTTGGTGAATGGGTTGGGAAAATTCAGGTCTGGGCTATTAAGTTTAGCTTTTTCTTTAGTTATTACTTTAGAATACACAAAATAACTGAAAATGTACATCGTCATTTTATAGACCCTTTTCCTTCTGGAATCCTGTATTAATATTTCTGGGTATTTGATATCAACTTCAAAATCTCGAGAAAGTATATATTTCCTATGAGTAATTCAGAAATGCTTATTATGACATATCTGTATTTCTTAATAATAAGCCTTGCCCAAAATGTTTACCCGAATTGACCATCAAACCCTCAATGCTCAGGGATGTGATTAAGCATCCGCATGAAACAGCATCAGTTAACAATGCTGGGAATAAACAAGTAGGAACAGTGAAGAATCAGGCACTGCATTTATTGAAGTACAGCATCAGGCAGTCCTGGGATTAGCAATTAGGTATTCATTTGAACTCAGTCTGTAGGAGGATTCCGTCAGTGGTTCTTCAAGTTTAAGCAGCAAAGGCCACCAACTACCTGTTATATAGTGATCTTTAAAATCTATTTAATTGAATTGGAGAAATTCGTTACATGCATTCTCTAGTTTTTCTTCTGGTAACTATAGGGCAGCAGGAGCCTTTTAAGTTATCTCCTAAAATTGTGCTTGTATGTTAAACTTTTCCCTAATGTAAGATGTTTTTCTAAATGTGGAAGATAATTTTTTAGAAATTAAAGTGGCCATGAGTCAGGTATTTTTTGTAAATGTATTTTGTGCTATAGTATGTGTGTTTAAACTCTCGGTTTATTTAATAAGTAGGATAATTTCTCGAAAGTGAAGTAGACTCTTTTAATTGATTGGACTTAAAAGTACTGGTTGTTGGTAAAATTTATAGAGAGAAATCTATTTTCTGACATATATAATATGCATTATAAAAGCAGCTCTATGTTTTTACTTTCTTGGTGCCTAAACATGTGAATGGTTGTATTAACGTGCAATTTATATGTCTGTTGTCATGTAAATATATGGTAAATAGTGCCAGTTTCTTTCAGTGGTTCTGAAAATTCAGTGTTGCATGATTATTTCTGTGTGGTACTGGGGTTACTTGTAAGTAAGTCTATGTACATAACATGTCTTGTGGATTTTGCATGCTACACTAATCTCTTAACTCTATCCCCTCTTTATTCAGAGCATGCTGTCAAGGTCCTTTAATTCCAATTTTACTGCTGTAAGCAGTTTTCACTATGGCAGCTCTAGGGATCTGCATGGCAGCCAGGGCAGTCTTGCCTTGAGTGTTGCAGACGGAAGAGGTTCTGGTGGGCACATTTTTCGAGTGAGTACCTACAGTAGAACAGTACTTTTAGCACATAGAAGAGAAAACCCCAAATTTTAAATGTTTTAATGTTTCTAGAAAAAAATTTTTACTGTGGGTTAGAAATCTTGATTTCTTTCAAGTTCTTCCATGGCTTCTAAAACTTTACTCAATGCTGATTTAGTCTTTATCTCTTAAGTTTTTTTGATCATAAGCTAATGTTGCAGTCAGCTCTGTTTATTTATGTAAAATGGGGTGAACAATCGGAGTAACTATCAGAGGTTTTTAAAAAATATTATTCTTTGCACTGTTTTTCTGTTAGAATTAGCTTGCTGTCCCCTAACTCAGGGTTTTAAGGCTGTGCCATATGTAATCCACAGAGGAATAATTTTAACTCCAGTGATTTGAGAATTGGCCGAGAAGAAGCCACTACCTGGAACTAAGTTTAATCATAATTCGCTGAATATACTTAAATGTGGGGCTGGAGAAATTGTTTCAAGTATCAATGAAAAGGCAAAACCCAAATCCTTTATTACCCACATTTCACCATAGTCCTGAGTAGTGAAGAAGAGAGGTTTGTTTTAAGGAAAGTTATGGGTGGGGGATAAGAATGGCAGAAAAAGAGAAAGAACAGAATACCTCTGGGCATGGCTATACTTTAAGATTTTTATCTCCACAACAACTTGAGGTGGTAGCATAGCCTCTAAACAGATATCTCCTTCTGCTCTTCTTTCATCCTGAAATGGCCTTTCTTCCCTTCTAACTTTATTTTATCCCTTCCCACAGTTTTATTTCCATTTCAAGTGTTTGCTTACTTCTGGGTCTTTTACTTTTTCCTGAGCGTACCACTCCCCTACCGGCCCCCCCCCTTTTTTTCTTGGCTGCTGGCTGGTACGGGGATCTGAACCCTTGATCTTGGTGTTACAAGGTAGTACTCTAGCCCCCCTTTCTTTTTTAAATGCACTCGTTTCTTTTCTGTGTTCTAGAGTAGGAGCAGTCTCCTAGATTCACTTTACTTTGGCTTTAGGAAAAACTCTTGCCCTGTCCTCTCCTACCTGCCACTACTCGGTTTCTTTGCTGTTACAGTGTCAACAATCATTTTGAAACTTCTCAAGTTGAAAGATAAGGTGATAACTGTCAAGCCCTCACTCCAACAGAGTCCATGGGGTAAAAACCAGTGGTTTTTATTAACTCAGGGGTAATCTTTGCCATTCATAATCATCTGGAAGTCTTCTTTCTAATTCTTTTACAGTAACACTTTGTGCTTGCTTTTCTTAAGTTCAGAGCATTTGAGTCTGGTGATTTCTACTTTTTCATTCATGATATGCTTGTTCTTTTAAAGAGTAGGTAAACAGTTGTACATTCAGGCTTGTGTTTAAATTTCAAGCTGTGAGCTAAGTTGATTTTTATGTATTTTAAATACCACACCTCAGAAAGAGAGAAGGAAAATAAAAGTATTCATTGCAAAATTAGATCAAACCACATCCAAGAATGCTAAGCCATCATTTGAATTAGCAACTAACTGCACACAGTAGATCTGTTGCTGAGAGTTTCTAAGACTAGATTCTTAATTTTATATGTATATTGTAGTAAATCATAGTGAACTAACAGTAGTGCTTTTTATCACAATTTATTTTGTTTTCTAAAATATATTTAGGTGTGTTTAGAATTAAAGTGAAAAATATAGGTTTCATGTGTCCCAGCATATTTATGGTAAGAAATATTAAGGAATAATGAGATATTGAGTATTTTTCCTCTCAAGTTATGATTAAACTGTAATATAAGGATATTATTTGGCATATGAAGATATGAACTAGTTAGTTAATTTTAAAAGCATTTCTCCAAACTAGTGCTTTTGAAAATACTGAACTAATATTAATATGATGAATTAAGCTAAAGCAGGTTTTATAAGACTATAAATGTACTGTTACTGCTAATTATTAAAATTTAGGAAAAACAAATCCTATGTGTTATTGTGCTGTTAAAAGAACAACAGTTAATTTTTTGACCAAAGAAACTGTTTATGGTACTCAACAGGAGTGTATTTTAATTGCTCTTGAAATTGGAGACTCTTAACTTTGATTAATAACTAAATTTATTGCTCAAAGGTGTTAAAAGCTAGGCATTACTGTAAATAAAAGGAAAAAAGAGCATGTAGAAGAATTTGTCTTCTACATGTGTGCATTATAAAGAAATAGATTAGCAGTATATATTCATATAAACTTTTCACACATTACAGCAACCAACATCTTGCCATGTACTTTTGGAAGAAGTTAAAGGTACTAATCGGTAGCAATGATGATGGTAATATTCTTATTGGGTCTTCATCTTTCCACTCCCTAGCAATATTTTTTCGTAATCATCTCTCAAGTGTCATCATCATTTTGGTTTCACATCTTAAAGGGCATTATTTGTTTATTCTTTATTTCCCCCTCATTTGAAGCATCCCCAGACATCCAGTCCAGGAGATCTTTGTCAAGATGATATATTCATTTCAGGACAGCAGAACTACTCGTCAGCTACACTTAGTCACAAAGATGTTCCTCCAGACAGCTTGATGAAAGTAGGTGCTCAGGAAATAAATGAAGTAGTATCTGTGAGTGCACTTACGTTTTGCAGCTTTTTAACTAGAAATATCATATGTGCTTTAACTGAAAATATTTTTTTGAAGGCTTTCCCCACTTGGTTAGTAAGGATTTTTTAAAAATAATTTATAAGTAAAGAGTAGAATTTGACCCTGTCTGCCATTTCTCAATTTGTTTCATGATTTTTCTATGCCAGAGAATAATTTATTGTTGCATTTGGATTTCTGTAGTATCACCTACATATTTTATCATTTGAAACAAGGGCATTTTGGTATTTCTGATATAAAACCTATTTGGAGGGTTGAAAATGAACTTGTCTTAAATTCTTCATTCTAGGATTTTTACTATTACTAAAGGCATTTTAAATACTTCAAATGTAATTAGAAATCACCTTGAAAGACTTTTGTGTATGGTAGAATAGATGATGGTTGTATTCTTAGTACTTTTATAGCAAAAAAAAGTCACTCATTTAGAGATTGTTGTAGCCAGTGACAGACACACAATTCTTTAGTGTTCTTCCTGAGCTATTTTTTTTCTCATTTTCTTAACTAATTCTGTGCCTCTAGTATAACCAGATATAATTACGAAGCATAGTTATTTATTATGTAAAACTTTTATGTTGCTCTTGAGAGTATGCACCCAGCCGGCTAATGTATAAATTCATACGTATCTATTTATTTTACCCTTTTTTCTTTTAATTGAGCTCTATCATCCAGTTTCTTTTTCTTTTTAGTACACATTTTGTGGGTTAGGTTACTAAGTTTGTTTTATGCTTTTTAGTCTCTTGAGCCATCTGCTAATCATAGCTTAATAGGAGTATATTCATGTTTATGTTTAACATTGTTGTAAGCAAGACCAAATACCCAGGTGTCAGGCAGTCTTAAGAACAGGTCAGTAGTAAGTATTGTCTGGATTTTTCCCAGGAGAAAGATACTGAATCTGCACATGGGAAGAAATTGTATAAACATAGAGAAATGCGAGGGCTATCTACAGAATCGTGTGTAAATAATAAAGTAACAGCACAACCAGTTAATTAGTCTTAGGCAGATCACTTGCTTTACATCTCCAGTGATCAAGTAATGAACAAATACAGTTTTTTCCCCAAAGATATAGGGATAATATACCACCTCATTTTTCTTCTCTCCCACCAGTAGTAAGATTTGTCAGTCTTAGGCAGATCACTTGCTTTACATCTCCAGTGATCAAGTAATGAACAAATACAGTTTTTTTCCCAAAGATATAGGGATAATATACCACCTCATTTTTCTTCTCTCCCACCAGTAGTAAGATTTGTCATAGAGAATATCATCCTTGTGCCCTGTCATAAAACATCCATGTATGTTCCCAAACATCAGAATTAACCAAATTCTCAAGTATAAAAAAGAGTATCTTTTTTTACAGAACAAATCTTCAATAAAGCCATATTTCTTTGTATCTTTCAGCCAGGTTCACATAAGAAGAGCATGCAGTTCTGGAACTGTTGCCATATCTTTCTGCAAACTTTTTTACTTTTGGATAATTTTAGGGAAATGGGGCTCAACTATTTCCCTTATAGTTTTCCCATAATTTCCTTGTGGACAAGGCTACCTCTCTGTTAAATAACCAACAAAGAAGTTTTAAGTGATTGAATAGCTTAAACGTATTTATTTCCTCTTCTACACAAATATCTTTTTATATGCAAATATTTATAATATGAACGTAACCTCTTATTTTTCGGATTGATTCCTTACACTAATAGAATAAGCTATTAACCACATTTCTACAAAGTTGATTTCATGTCTAAAATTCAGGTTCAACCTGGCCAGTTAGCTCACTTGGTAGATCATGGTGTTATAACACTGAGGTCAAGGATTTAGAACCCCTTTTGGGCAAGCCCACCCCCCCCAAAAGAAAAGACCATGCATTACAATAACATAATAAATTTTAAAAAATAAATAATAAGGGCCGGTCCGGTGGCGCACTGCTGCAGTGCGCTGCTTGGGAGAGCGGTGGCGCTCCCGCCGAGGGTTCGGATCCCACGTACAGACCGGCCGCTCACTGGCTGAGCGAGGTGCGGGTGCAACACCGAGGGTTGCGATCCCGTTGCCGGTCCCGGTCCGGTACGGGCGCGACACTGAGGGTTGCGATCCGTTGCCGGTCACGAAAAAAAAAAGACAAAAAGGGGGAAAAAAAAAAAAATAAATAATAAAATTCAGTTTCAATCTCTAAAAATTGAGAGACATTAAAACAAAGATAGTATAAATAAATAATAAAATTCAGTTTCAATCTCTAAAAATTGAGAGACATTAAAACAAAGATAGTTATTTACCAGCAACAAACTAGTAATCTCAAGTTTTTTGTTTAGCTTGTGAAGAATAAATTAGAATGTCAACATTTAATTTTTGTGGTTAATATTCTATGGAATTAATATTTAGAGAGTTTAAAATTGCTAACTGGTACACACACACACACATGAGGAATAAATCAATTTTCTACTAATAGATTGCCAAATTGGCTTGTTAATTCTGGAAAGGAAAGAATAAATTTAGAAAAATATATTCAAATTAGGAACAAATAATACCACAAAGTTAGTTACTTTTTTTCTGAAGAAAAACATCAGCAAATGCATCTTTTGTGTGTGTGTTTTAGTATGAGGAACGATACCTTTCTAATAGGCTTACTTAAATTTTAAAAATTTGACATACTATTTGCCATTTTAACATTTGGTTACCGTAAGAAATATAGGTACAGTTACATTTAACAAAAAAGTTAGTGATTTTAAATGTAGATATGGTATACTTTCATTTGGAAGCTTAAAAGAGTGAATCTATCAGGAAGCACTCAGGCAATGTTTAAAATTAAGACATTAATAGCTTTTTTTCTTTTAAAGTTTAAAATTAGAGAAAAATAGTAAGTGGTATATAGTATTGTGTGATTTAGAATGTTAAAACTCTAGTGCTTTTGTAATGCTCCAAGAAGAAAATCCAAATATTTGTAATAAAACATCATTATTGGTCATTTTAAGATACTTCATGTTTTTCTTAGATGCCTTTGAGTAATGGACAGATGGGCCAGCCTCTCAGGCCTCAGGCAAATTATAGTCAAATACATCACCCCCCTCAGGCATCTGTGGCAAGGCATCCCTCTAGAGAACAACTAATTGATTACTTGATGCTGAAAGTGGCCCACCAACCTCCATATACACAGCCCCATTGTTCTCCTAGACAAGGCCATGAACTGGCAAAGCAAGAGGTAAGAATCAAGACTATTTGAAATATGAGACTAAGCTTTTCATGTATTTTTTATAGGTTAATTATTAGTAATAAATCCATATAGAATTTTAACATAGTTTTTACCATCTTGTTTAAAGTTTTAGTTTTATGTTAGGTTTATAAAGTGTTAAACTTTGTAGTTTTAACTTTATGATCATATGACATAGGATTTAATATTTTTGGCATGATTATTTTATTCTAAGGCAGTTGCTTTTCCAAAACTGGTTGATGATACTCCAGTAATCAGACCTTTTTCAGGAATATAAATAGTAGACCATAAAGCTGAAATGGCATATTGTCCTGTGACACTTAAAAAAATCTTAGTTTCTTAGGTTTTGAAATTGGACTATAGTCTCCAAACTACTTTGAGTATTTAATCTTAAAAAGTATTTAAGAAGTCATGGGCGGTGCATTCATATACAAGTATCTTGATAGTTTATTGATAAAATGGTCAGTAATATTAGAAACTTAGGTAGAAATCAAACGCTTTATTAATTTTGGTTGAGTCCCTGGTGAAAAGGAGTGTTTTGTAACAAAAGTTTAATTCTTGCATCTTTTTTTATAGCTTGGTTATAAAATCTACTATCAGTTGATCATATTTTAAAATCCCAACTCCTTTAAAGCATATAAACAGATTCAAGAAATGAAGAATTAATATCTCCAAACCAACTGATGGGTTTTTTAGATATCTTATGATACAAGCCAATAAACATTAGATATGTGTAATTTAGATGGTCCACAAGTGGAAACTGACAATAATATACATGTTTTATGTTTTTGCATTGTGTCATTAAAATCCATGATGTCTAAAAAGTAAAATAGGGTGAACATTAATTGATTTTCTATCCTCATGAAACCACTGGCTAGTTAGGTGCTATGCTTTGTAATCCCAGCTGTGCCTTTAACTCACTAACTCATTAACATAATATTCCATGTTATAGTTTCACTTCATCTGCCTGTGTTTTTTTATAAATCTTCACATATTTATAATTCATCAGTACTTAAATATGTTGTTTTATTATAACTTTTTCTGAAATAGTAGTAATAGCTTCCTTTATTTTTATATTAACTCAGATTCGAGTGAGGGTTGAAAAGGATCCAGAACTTGGATTTAGCATATCAGGAGGTGTTGGGGGTAGAGGAAACCCATTCAGACCTGATGACGATGTAAGTTTTGTTTATATATCCTTGAAACACCCATAAAGTTCTATTTACTAATTCAATGCCTCTTGTATGTAAGTGAAAATTTAATAGATATTTATGTAAATTTAGATAGACATCACCTTTTAAATTTCCCTCTGTATTATTCTGCTTTTTGTTTTGAAATTTGATGTTTCAGTTAGTTGAGGAAAAAAAATTAACCAAAAATTTTCAGTGTTCATGATGATATTAAGTGATTTTTAGTTCTCTTAATTGCTTTTCTACACATGTATAGAAGTAATTTTATCACTTTAACAGAAATCACTATACTAACGTCAGAATTACTAAAGGAAGAAATCACTTTGGATTGTCACAATATTAGAGAAGTCAGGGAGAAAACTTGTACCATGATTCAAATATTTGCATGGTGTGGATGAAAGATTGCTCCTTGGCACTCTATTATTTATGCATTCTATTTTTGGTTAAATTATCTTTTTTTGTTGTTATTAAAGGGTATATTTGTAACAAGGGTACAGCCTGAAGGACCTGCATCAAAATTACTGCAACCGGGTGATAAAATTATTCAGGTAATTAAGATAAATATTTTTATTATTTTCTTTCATTTTGCAGCACTCTAGTGTCTAATTTGGGTGAATCAGAGTACCACTTCTTGGGCGTGGGCTGTCATTATATCAGAAATTTAGAAGAAAATTTCAAAATCTGAGAGACCCTTCTTCTTTTCCCCATGTTCCCTGCTTTTCTCTGTTCCTTCGGCTACTCATTTTACCTAAAACTTGTAGTCGAGCTTTGTCTTAAGAGGAAGACAAGCCTAAGACACAAGTATAACTCTCATTCTCTACCCATACCTTCACTGTTGTTTATTCAGAAATTAATTTATGAACATTCAAAAATTAATCTTTAAATAACCTTCAAACAAAGAAATGAGACAGAGTTTACTAGCTGAAAGTACAGACTCCAAAGACAGATTGCCTGAGTTTGAGTCCTGGCTCCAACACTTTAAAACAATTTTTAAAAAAATTTTTTTTTTTTTTTTTTTTTTTCGTCTTTTTTCATGTCCAGCAACAGATCACAACCCTCAGCGCCCGTACCAGACCGGGACTGGCAACGGGATCGCAACCCTCGGTGCTGCGCCCGCAACTAGCTCCGCCAGTGAGCGGGAACAGGGCTGCATGTGG